ATTTTAAAAATCCCCAACAATACAAAATGGCATCAAAATACTATTTCTGAAGATGCTCTGATTAATAATAAACATTGACTAGAGTTTAGAAAGGAATTGATGGAACATTTTCCCCAAGTAAGTCTTCTCTTCAGCTTTCAGCTACTGAAGTGTTTAGAACATTCACAGTATGTAATTAGGACCTCAAAATTTGCCACTCGAATGCAAGCATATTAGATGCTACACATACATGTTATCTTCCCCTGGGCCTGGATCACAGATGGGGAAAAACTTGACAAGACAAACAAACTAAACTTATGCACAGAGGCCAAAATACAAGAATAAATGAGGCAGACCTGGTAGGTCATATGTCAGCAACATCTCTTACTGTACTAAAGGAACCAAATATAGTGAAGTCTGCTCTTACCAAACATGGTCAATCAGAAAAGAGCTGTAAACAGAGAGAAAAGAAAATCCCCAATTCTTTTTCCCTGTTTCTATTTGGGCAACCTCTCTAAATCGAAAAACCCAGTTAACCGAAAGAAAATTTAGCAGTCCCACGGATTTCAGTTTAAGTGGACTCCACTGTACAAGGTCTTCTACTAAGCAAATCAGTGAGATTGAAGATGATTGACAGAGACAGTCATAGATGATAGCAAGTGACAGAGCAGGGGTCAGCAGCAACTATCAATCATGACAATACCAATAGTTCTCAGGTATACACTGACCATTAGGCACAAACCCCTGAATGCAAACCAGATACTTTGGCATGGGCAAGAACTGTAGAGGATCATTTCTTTTAACAGAATTATTTTTAAAATATTGTAATCAATATATATATATATAAATAGATAAACCCACAATTTGAGTCATACCATCAAGCTTTTACGAATAGGCATTGCACATAATACTTTTTTTGTTTATAAGTAGAATATACATCATTAAATGCAGGAAAAATGCAACGAAGCAAAGGGGATAATCAAATATAAACAAGGAAATGCAAAGTGTAGAAATACTGAGTTGGACTCGTGGCAAAAAGTAGCAATCGCAGACTAGTATCGACAGGGTCAATAATGTTAGTAATATGTAAAGTAAAAAGTTCCTGCTGAAGCAACGACAGGCAACATTCCCTGAAAGAAGGACAAAAATAGCTATACAACAAATGAACACAACATAAAACAGAGCTTTGTGCATTGAACTTTGCGTGGGAGAAACTTTAGGTCAACAAATAAAAAAGTCTGAGACCTGATGTCATCACAGACTCATTGACAAACAAAAGGTCGTTGTACCATTACGGGGACAAACTTTTGTTGCCCCACATGCTTAACTCTTTCCGGACGTATCGCCGATATATCGGCGCCAGTCCACACCCCTTGCAGACGTATCGCCGATATATCGGCGCGAGTCCACACCCCTTGCAGACGTATCGCCGATATATATCGGCTGTAACGGGGTGCCTCAGTATTGTTTCATTTTAACATGATCTGTCATTCATAAATACTTTTTATTGCTATTGAAAAACTCGGAAAGGATTTAGGAAATGAAAATGTCTAGTTTCACTTTGTCAAAGCGTGGGTTTAGGGAAAAACGAGTGAATTAGTTCTTGCTGTCTTGCATCAACAAAACAATGTAACTGGACTCAGTATAAATATCATAACTCAAACACAAATTGAAATATTACTTTCAAATAAAAAGCTGCGCATTCAGAAATTTATGGATTATGCTCTTGGCCTGTATATGATAAGATACCTATGCTGATTTGCTTTCAAATGTTTGGTGAATGTAATTTTTTCCGTCAAAATTTATTTTTCTCATCACCATCGCCATTTCTAACCCTTGTAATGCATACTTATGTTCAAAATTATTCCTTGTTTCATATTGGAATGTATTCCTCATTCAATTTCCTTCAATTTGATATATCATATGTTGCGTTTGGAGCGATGGGTATGCTTCTATGAAGTCATTTTGTACACCACCTGCACAGCCAAAGTGAGCCACAAGTTAATTATGTCTAGACCCCAAAAAAACTACGTCCGGAAAGAGTTAAAGTAAATAGTAAAGAATAATTTTAAATGATCGAAGCCTTAACTAATATCGCCACCAGTCTATAACTACATCCCGAAACGTTTCTCACATGTCTTACATCAATTGCACCATTCTTTCCAAACGGCTCTCAGCCAAATGCAGCAGAAAGAATACCAGTACGCCATTTCGACAGACAAGGCAGTCTCTTAAGCATTCATACGAGAAAACACATTCGCACATGTGCTGCATCAGTAGGAAACCCTAACAATTCAAAGCCAGTTTCTTCCTGAGGGAGATGCAGAGAAAATTTATCTCCATTTCTGGTTTTCTGACTGACTTCTTACCACTAGATTTTATCAATTTCACACTAAAGTAACAACATGCGTATTGTTAGATAAATGTTGCACAATGGCTGCAAACTCAGAATGATTTGCTCTTTGACACTCTTCTACTACCTACCACCATCCATGTGCTGCAAATGCTAAAAATTCACAACATTCATTTTATTTTTTTTATTCGGCAGCCAAGATTCTTTGTGATCACTGATAAAAATGTATATAATTGTGGAAGATTAATGATTAATGAACTTGCAGACTATAAACAAATGAAATACTTTTTCTAAATTTTTCTTATTCAGTGCTTGAAACTACTTTCGAAGATAAGTCCATCCATTGTAAAAATACACTCTGGAAATAAAAATTTTTATACAGTGGAACTCGGAATCAACGAGGTCGCCGGGTCTGACCTAAAATCTCGTTGAATCTGAGTGTTCGTTATAGCAGGTTTTGTGCAGATAATTACAGGCACTGAGCAAGTAATGTATGAAGAGAAGTCACAAGTTGTGGCTGAAATGCCTGCATATTATGAGCTGTGTAAAAAAAAGACAGATTCGTTCAAATGCACACACCTGTTTCATCTCGATTGTTTACCAAAAAGTTGTGTAGCTGTGTAGAGCCTAGCATACGGCAACTTTTGATTCCGTAGACCAGCGCATAATTCATTACGTAGATGTACGTCAAGACTAGCTTATCATTGTAATAATGATCAGTTGCCGAGGGGAAAAAAAGACTGTGACGCCTTTGTATCTGCGACGTTCAACGCCTGGACCGCTAGTGTCTCCCCTCCCCCGACAGGCACACACAGCCACACGTGTGCAGGCCGCCCATACGACCCCGACACACGCCAGAGTAGTCACGTGCGCGAGCCAATAAGGCATGTGTTGGTATGAAAAAAGGCTGCTGATTGGTCGCATGGAATCGGCTAAGTGAATAATGGTACTCGATGCAGGTGCAATGGATGGTTCCTGGGAATGGATAAAGTTCGTTCTGGGAGAAAAAGGAGCAAAACCACGTATGCGGGGGCTGTTCATCCTGGAAGCGACCTCGTTGAATCCGAGCTCGCTGATTTAAGTGCTCGTTGAATCCAGGTTATTTTTATTGATTTTAAAGAAGAAAAAAAAAAGGGGGAATCTATCTCATCTCGTAGAATCCGAGCTCGTTGAATCCGAGTTCCACTGAACTGGCCCTTTATGTAAAACACAAAAAAATAAAGCAAAATGTTTTTTTTCTGAACCTGAGGCTAAAAATAACTCCTCAGCAAAATTCAAGTTGTCTGGCCATCATCCAACAAAGAGCGCCACGCCAGAGTGGAGAAAGTGATGAGCGGTAAAGTTTATATTTATATGTTCATACATACCTCGGAAAAGTACATTTGATGAGACAAGCATTTAAAAAAATACTGGTCCATGATAAAATACTGTCAACAATCATCAAAGTTTACAAATTGCATTGCATTAAAAAATGCCACCTATAACATTAGAAATGAGCAAGAACAAATCTAAAATATCCCTCTCACTGTCCTCAAAATACAACAAAATTTGAACAAAAGAACACATATAAATAATTGAGCAAACAATACAAAACCCCCTCAAAAGTGAAAAAAATCCAAGAATTAATTCATGAAATTGAAATGTCAATCATCGTCACCATAAATAATCATCATCATGATCATCATAACCATCATCATCACCGACAGAAAACATAACAATTTGCACCATGTCAATACATTTTTACGTAACCTACAAAATTTTATGGGCACCAAAATCAGGACAAGGGACCAAAAAAAGAAAAAGAAAAAAAAAGAACAAATTCATGAAATGTCATGTGTGTTGGGGACCTTCAGTCTACAGACCAGCAAGAAACACCTGGACAGAGGACATGGTAAATCCTGACAAATGACACTTCCCTTCCACTACAAAGGTTGTGACATGTGAGTGGCACCTCACCAGTAGTGCTGTGATTTTGAGCCCAAGCATGAAGTCACAATTCATGCTATTCAGATACCGAGTGAAGATTCCACGGATAGCTCAAACACATCGGGGATGGACAGAGCCAAGCATTATAATTCTATATTTCCAAACCATGCAGGTAATAACAGACAGCATTTGTACAGCACAAATTCTTGCTCAACAGCAAGCTTTATGCGCTTTGCAATCTATATTACCCCAACAGTCTCGATAGCATTCTGAAACAATCTCAACTCCCTGGAAAGCATACAGTGCAAGCTGCCATTTTATAGACGCTTAAACACTAACATACGGACAAGATCTTTCGCTGTCTATGGCCGAGTACCCATTCCCACTGGGTGAGGTGAAGAAAATTCATTTAAAGCGTCTTTCCCAAGGACAAAACGTTGGACCTGCAGCTCAAATCCCCAAACCCGCCACCTCATGATTAAGACTATTGACGCTAAGTAGTGATCAGAGTTACACAGAAACCATGAAAATTTGAGCCCCCTCCCCCTCTTTCTCTAAATTCTGACAATAATTGCTCCTGCAACTTATTTTAGCTAAACACTTTCACTGAAAGCAAAATCTGTGTAGAACAAGCAAAAATAACCTGATACAAATAACAGATTGTAGGAAATTCACACTTATATAAAATCCGATGGCACCTGGTTGATGTCTAGATTAAAATTTTGAGTTAAAATAGGTTCTGATAAAAATCTTTCTCTAAATAATATCAACAACAATTATTCCATGCACCCCAAATAAAAAATGTAATAGTATAAATAAGTATCACGACGAAAGACACTAACCACCTTTCATACAAAGAAGTATTGACTATGTACAGACAGTTTACTGAAAAAGACCATTGACAAACATGACATAATGACCTCAATTCCCATCTATTTCACAGGACAAAAGTGAGGGATGTGTCCTTGGGGCAACTGCCAATAAATACAAAAGCAAAACATAAAAACATAACATCCACTAATTGCCCTGAAATAAAAGAAAGAAAAGTTACAAAGTAAAACTGTCCAAACTAATTTTTTCGTTAACGTCAAGCTTTGCCTTTTCCAGCACTCATCAGATGGAATATGGTGGAAGATATCTTCTCATAGGTGAAGAACATCAGGGCAGCCGTGAGAACAGTTTGCAACAGCTTCGACTCCATGCCCTTGTACAGAGAGCCAAAACCTCGGGTCCTGATGAGACATTCAAGACAATAAGATCATTGATGAACACGGAAGTCCAAGGAAAAGTAAAACTGGCTAATCTAAGGAAACAAAGTGCATTCTCTCCAACAAAGACACATTAAGATTTTGTCACAGTATGCTCCTCCTTTCTTGTCAAAAACCTATTGTCATTATATCTCTTGTTTTTCGTATGTTATTCTCTAGAAGCACTTCTAATCTTCAGTACTTAGATGACCTAATTGTGTTCCAAGAGCTGTCTGTAAGACATGTTTTACTTTACTCAACAGTCAACTATTATATTTCTTTTTTTTTACATTAACAAGAAATTCCCGTGAGGCTAGCTAATACTATTACAAACCTACCAAATTATCAATGACTGAAGTCGGAAAAGTTACCACTAGTTTCTACTTTTCAAAGACAGAAATAGGGAAAATAAGAGCAGAGATCATGTTTGCAAGTCAAAAGTCTTTATACTTCAACTTGCTTCCAGATTGATGTTCCAAATCCCACCAATTATTTGAAAAGGTTGAAACTATGTGCATCACTAGGCTGAATAAAGGCCAAAAAGGCTAAATGTTTATCAGCACAATATAGGAACAAGAAAGTCAAAAAAGTTGACTGCACACATGGAAAACATCGTTACGATAGTCAACGTAACTCTACATCCTGGAAATGCACTTTTCCTGGTGTTATTTGTTCACAATGAACTTTGCAAATTAAGGAAAGAAAACAATTTTTCCTCTGTGGCTGAATTAATTGAGAAAATGATGTTATCAGGACCTCTGGGAAATACAGCCTGATTCAGAAATTTCCCAATGTTATCAGAAATATGTAAAAATGCTGGTATATACCAAAAAATATATACTACCGTATTTTTTAAAAACTAAAGAATAAACTATCAAAATAAAATTTAGATCAACTTTTGATTAACAAATAGGTCTAGAAAATCTTTATCAAGGCAGTATATCTTACCTGACTAAATGAATCAAGTTTTCCAGGAGAGTTTGAGAGGTTTCCAGCTTCGCATAACCAGCCTGATGAGAAAAAAATAATATGAACACCTTCAGTTCAACAACCTCTATTTTTCCCATTGTGAAATTATAAAAATATTCCCTAATGTGAACACTGCATTTAGCCAAATTAAACGAGCAATTCAACCAGAACAGAGATCTTCCCAGCAAAACTGAAAAAGACAAATTGGTATTTTTGAATTTGGTTGATAGTTGTACCTTTGTTGCAACTTTTTATTCTCGGCAAATCCAGCATCATAATAAACACATCTTTTTAATCAGGAATGTAAACAACCAAATCATTAAAAAAGGCTGAAAGTATTATGATTCAAAGAAAAAGGACAGAATGATAAATTCCCCCTACTCCTACAGAAAGCAGACGTACAAAAAATTTTACAATTACCCAAATTTTCCAATAGCAGTCAACACCAACACATATTAACACATTACACCCTAACTCGCCCGTGAATTCCCTTGCGCGCTCCACCCTGACTCGCCCAAAACAGCCCGCGCCGACCTAGCGTCTTTAGAAACGAAGTCTCACCTTGACGAGACTCTGTGGCCGAAACTTTGATTTGCATGGTTCTTGCAAAAAGTTTCTTCTTTTATTTGATACCGAAACGAAATTTTTCGGGCCAGTAGTTTTAGTATTAGAGAGCCGATAGAAGTGCGATCGCGTTACCGACACTTCGTAGGTGTCTTGACTTGTTGAAAAGCAACACAATTGAGTTCGAAAAAGGAAATAACGATGGATTTGAGGAAAAACAAGCCTATGACAAATCAAATGACTCAGATTTTGATGAAAACATTGTAGCAAGAGTTTGGGACCATTCAGATTGATCAGACGTAGAAAATCTAGAATTTAGATCTAGGGCCCAACCGCGAGGCTGAGAGTGAGAGTGACGGGTCGAACACCCCGATTGAACTACAGTTAGAACATTTCCAACAATTTGCGCATACATAAAGTTATATTTTTCTGAAACTGCATTCATTATTCGTTTAAACTTTGATTTTTTTCAGGATTTTTGGAATTTGTTTAGTATTTTTAAAATGTGTTTTTTAAACGCTTGTATTCACGGGAGGTGGGTTCCTTCCCCTTACATAGGATCTAACAATGGACTTCCCGTCCAGACCCTTAGGGTGTAATGTGTTAAAAAGATTTATTATTATCTAAAGCTCTCTTAAAATGGGGGAAGAGACAGGATTGTCTCGTTATCTATACATACCCGCAGTCGACTCTGTACCACTTGCAGAGGATATGTGACAACTGTTGCCACAGCTTTTGCTATTGCGCCTATCAGGAAGTACATCAGTCCACTCAATTCCTGAAAGACAAAGGCACAGGAGGAAATGAGGATACGTTTGAACTTGAATAGCAAAAATGAGAAGCAAAAAACAACCCCGTCCCCCTAAAAAAATGACCATTGTCAGTCTCCACACTTTATTCTCAAGTCATGATAGGAAGGGAACATCTGGTTTCATTTTGTTCCTGTATAAAACAATGTGATAAACTAAATTTTTAAAATTCATACAGCATTCATTTAAGATTAAGACAGCCAATAAGTCGGTTTAAGTATAGTATACGTGAGTTCAAAATAAATATGGTTTCAGAAGAAAAAAACCCAGTACATCTGCTGTGCTCATCTGATCCTTTGCAAATGTGACATAGTTATAAGTAAAGAGTTGTCTTGCTGTAAGACACTCGGGACTAACAGATTATTTTCTGACAGGAAATTCACAAGAGACTTGGACTGGAAAAAAAGATCTGCTGCACTGTGGCTACAGAAATTTCCCTCCAGCTAATCATCAAAATCTCAACTTGAGAAAGTATCTAATTACAACAACTGAAACTTAAAAGCAAATTCAACAGGGGTCAAATATCTATTTTTGTATAGTTTTAATCCTATTAACACTTTGAGCTTATTTCCGTGTATTTACGGGATGCGCTTTATTTATCGATTGACAGCTCATGTGTTTTTCGGTTACAAGCTATGGGGAGCAGCAAGCCAACAGTTGACCCATTTGTTTCGTTTCGTTAAAAATTTGGTGAAGTTATGTGCGATACTTTTTAAGCTGTAACGGACTAAGTCCGTCACCTATGCATTGCGATAGATGAATTTATTATTTTGACATTGCCATTTCAAAATATTGATAAAATAAAAACTATTTGGACAAATTACAATGTAGATGCAGTTTTCTTTTTCTTTCAGAGCATTTCTTTCTTCCTCTTGTTGCCCACCCCTGGTCTAAATGGTCTTTCATGAGAAAGTAACGATACCCATGTTAAAAATCCCAAAACCAAGCCGACTCCAAAGTCAGTGAACTATTTCAAGACTTACCTCAACTTTCAGAGTTCGCCGAAAGTAGCGTTTGAGCGCCTCGTACACCATAAACTGTATAGCAGGATTGGAGGCAAGAAGGAGTGAAGGCACGGTACCAGACCACAATTTCTTTACTCCTTCAGTCTCCAGAATCTTCCTAAGGCAATCTAAGGAAAGCATGATTGATGAAAACAAAATGGACCAAATGGACCAATGAGACGGAAATGAATCAATTTCTAATCTGAATGAAGCCAGAATTCATTTGCTTTAAAAGTTTAAACTTTAAGAATTCTATACCCACTACAATCAAGAAAACTGGTCCATAGTTTAGAGTTCCGAAAAAGCATAAACAGAAGGAATCACAGAGTAAATATGACATAACCACCTATGAGCTCACATATCATTCTACCATTAGAGAGGTTGCACCATGTGTCTAGCCTTGTTCCAAACCCAAAAGCACCCCCCCCCCTCCCCCCTCCATCTACAAAACAGTACAGAGAAGATATAAAAGAAAAAGAAGTAGAACCTACAAAGAGCACTTTACAGCTGCAGCTTTATTCTCATATGCACAGAGATATGTGATATGTGGTAAAAAAAAAAAGAAAAACATTATTTACACATAACCAAAGTAGACATCCTCATGTTTCAAATACAGAGGACCAGAAAAAAACAAGAAAAGAAGAACAAAAAGAAAGAACAAAAAGAAGAAGAATCAACTGGCAGTGGCAGCACTCAAAAGCCATGGATGTGTTCCCATTTGCAAAATAAAGACATCATTGGCAAGCGGTTAAATTGTACTGAGCCTGAAAAGCAACATTTTGCAGGAGAAAGAAAAAGCATTTCATTCTTTTAAGGATTGTACCTAGATATATGTATTATTTCTTGCTTTTTTCCTACATTTTTATATTCTCGTTACATCTGACCGATGATCCTGTTTCATCTGACCCACACCTATGATCACCTGTAAATCTGACCCATATCTGGATATGTAACCACACATACTTGGATATGAAATGACAACCCATGCCTATGATCCCTGTACATACATATGATCCTTGTTACATCCAATACATATCTATGATCCCTGACACATCTGACCCATTCCAATGATCCTATTTCATCTGACCCATACCTATGATCCAATGAACCTCGCTTCATCTGAACCACACCTATGATCGCCCGTACATCTGACCCATATCTGGATAGAGCTATGTAACCACACATACTTGGATCGATATGAAACCACAACTAATGCCTATGATCCCTGTACATATGATCCTCGTTACATCTGATGATCCCGTTACATCTGACACGGACACATACCTATGATCCCTGTTACATCCGACACATACCTATGATCCCCATTATATTCTACACATACCTATGATCCCTGTTACATCCGACACATACCTATGATCCCTGTTACCCCCGACACATACCTATGATCCCTGTTACCCCCGACACATACCTATGATCCCTGTTACCCCCGACACATACCTATGATCCCTGTTACACCCGACACATTTCTATGATCCCTGTTACACCCGACACATTTCTATGATCCCTGTTACACCCGACACATACCTATGATCCCCATTATATTCGACACATACCTATGATCCCCATTATATTCGACACATACCTATGATCCCTGTTACACCCGACACATTTCTATGATCCCCATTATATTCGACACATATCTATGATCCCCGTTACACATTGGACACATACTTATGATCCCCGTCACAACTGACACTTACCTATGATCCCGTTATACCGGACAGAGTCCCCCGGCAGGCTGGATCCCCCTTGCTGGTAGTGTTCTGTGTACAGCTTGGCTCCCTGCAGCTTGAGGCGGGTGTTGGCCACCCACAGGGGGGTCGTGATGAGCACATTGAGGATGCCTGTGTGAGACAAGAGAAAAGTTGTCAGGACAATGTACAATATTTTAATTGAGTTTTTTCTAAGTTTTTTTTTTTAGTAAGAGTTTTGCGGCACTTGCAACCCCATTAAGTCGTATAAGTGCTGAAGAATAGAGGAAAAAAACAAAATAAAAGAAAATACAATGAGAGATAGGAAAGAAGGAGAAAAACCACACCATAGCACCCACCAACCACCCACTTAAAGATGTCTCAAGAAGGTAATGCTACAAAGACTAGAAACAAAATAAACAAAGCCTCAAAATGCTATGAAGTGACATTGGACATATTGCTTGAGTATTCTTAAGAACAACAAAAAACATAATCCTTTACATTTTAACTTCCCTATTCAAACATGTTTGAGAAGTCATATTACTAAAAACATGTAAAAGTAGTCTAGTGCCTAACAAATGATTCTGGAGGTACTGATGTTTGTGATATTAAGACATTGATTTTTTTTAAAAACCAACAGTATACAACACAGTATGTCTCTAAACACTGATCAAAACTTTCCCATATATTTTTATGTAAAAAAAAAAACCCAATGAAATGAACATACATTTACCGAGTATACCAATATGAAGATTCACATACTAAAGATTATTAGCATTGAGAGACAAACAAACAAAGAAAATATAAAGTGAGAAAAACACTGCATACATGAATATGAAGTAAGGCTGCACATGCTGAAAAAAATCATGCAGATAAGAATGACATAAATGTTAATGTACAAAAGAGATTCCCACTTCAATGAATTTCACTTCTGAACAAATAAAAATGGGAAAGTTTCTTGTTGGATAAGCTAATAAATTGATCGCTCAATATGAGACTGCCATATATGTCACATTTCAGAAAGTCATATGGCCGAGTCTTACACGACTTACGCTAAGCAGTCAAAATGTCGATGTAATCATCAGCACAGCAGCTTTGGTTTTAGTTTTAGTACGAGTTTTACTGCGCTCGCAACTAAGGTCATATGAGTGCCAGAAGAAGGTGTTACAAGAGAGTAACAAACATAAAAAAGAAGAAGGGGAGATAAGGACGATAGATGTTCGATAGGACAGAAGAAGAAGCAAACCACACCAGAGCACCTGCCAACCACCCACCAGCTTTGGTTTGGATCTTTGGTCCTTAACCTTGTTCGAGGTATTGAACATGGTAAGTTTCATACACAAGCAATCATCGACCCTTTCTGTAACTTTCTTGAGGGGGGGGGACGGAATGGAACAGAATGTATCTCATCTATGAATTTGTTAAAGGTTTCCACATTGCAAAAACAAGTCAATGGAAAAATAAAAAAAGAACATGGTATATAATAAGTACAACTATCAAGTATTTTAGTAAGAACTTATTTCATTCTCTGAAGACACAGATGCAGGGCACAGTGTTAACTCAGTTTAAAACATAAGATAAACAAATGATTTCACTTCTACTGAATCCAGTTGAAGAGAGGGATGATGATGCAATAGTTTTAGTTTCAGAAAAAGAGTTTAGAGGCACTTGCGTTTAATTGCTGAATATTAGGGAAATGTTACTAAAGAGTAACATACAATGAAAAGAGCATCTAATAATGATAGATGTTTGATAAGAAAGAAGGAGCAAACTACACCAGACGACCCGCCAACCACCCCAGTAATTTCCATTAATTCATTTTCTTTTCTTATTATTATATTATACCACTACAAATAAGAAAGCATATAAGTCAACTCCGTATTTGAATAGAGTTTAAGGATTTGAAGAAGGAAGGTGGTAAAAAGGAATTAAAGGAATATGAAAGTGAAAGAAGCTGAGAAAAAAAAAGGAGTAAAACTGGAGTAACCAGTGTCCATTGATTTATCTTATGACACAGTAAAGTATAGTTCACTTCAGTCCTTGTTACATGGATATTGCTGTTGACTTTCGTTGTGTGAGGAGGCTTGATCAAGGATCACCAGCTTGCAGTAAAACGAAGACAAAGCTAGCAGTTTTACAAAAACAAAAGACAGCAGCGAGACTTCTCTCATATGCCATGCGGAGTTTAGTTTCCAGTCTAATAAATCAGAAGCAAAGAGAGTAGCACCAGTTCACTGCTTTTACACGAATACACATGGTTGGAAACATCTGTCACTTCAGATTAAAGATAGGCAGAATTGGAGACCCCAAAGTCTCCTGGAGGTTACCCGAGGATATGAATATAATATGGATGACACAGCCTATCACTACTGATTCACTACTGATACACATGTATGATGTATGGTTTGAAATAGGATCTTAGCGAAATTATAATAAAATAATAAAAGTAAAAGAGACTGCATCATGAAAATCAGCAGCTTCAGTACCTCTAGTACTAGTAGTAAGGTCTGCTTAGTAAAGATCTACTGTTACAGCGATGTCAAAACCAGCTGTGTTTAAAGTTCTCATTGCAACATGAAAGGCAAGCAATGGCTTGCGCTCTTTTTGTTCTTTTTCTTACTCATTAAATAGGAAAGACCAGCAGCTTATCCCTTAGACTGTAGGTTTACATTAATACAGAAGGACATAAACCAAAACAGGTTCAGATAAGACAGAAAAAATGCAAATGCTGTCACTACATACAGCAGGGAGGATATTCTCATATGTATACGAAAGAGAAAATCATTGATAATGATTGTCATGTAGCCTAGAGTTGCGAAAAGCCATAAACAAAATACAGAACTAGGAAAGTAAAGAATAGGTTTAAGGCCTTTTTCAATAATGTATTGTAATTCAACAGAGAGGCTTCTTATTTTTACTTCAGTCGTTAATAAGACCAGCCGAAAAGTACAGAGTTATGGATAATCCCAAATCACCTTGTTCAAGATTGTCAGGTTGAAGACTTGGACTAGAGTCACCAGCAACTTATTGATGATATTACCAGAACTACAAATGTTTACAAATAAGTTGCCCCTCCCCATCGCATTAGCACATTTAGGGGGTAGGCTATTCCAACTCTGTCTGTCAGGCTGAGTGCAACACAACATCCCAGTAGAAAGACAAAGAGGCTCAGGAAAATAGTCTTCTGCATGTGACAATTGAACTCAAGTTTTTCACAAGCAATGGCCGAGAACTAAACCACTACACCACAGTAGCTAATAAATGTACAATAGATCTTCATCATTTCTGAGGTGAAAAATAGCAATTGATATACGGGGTATCATTCATAGGTCTACATTTTTAGATGACAAGCAGAAACCGAAAAAGTAGAAAGGTATTTATCAGCACAAATAAGCGTCAATAAATATCATTTTCACAAACAACCTAAATGTGTAATCATATTTCATTGACAGCATCGAGTGTGCAAATGGTATCGATTGCTAATCATTAATAATACAAACATTAACATCCCATCCAGCAATAACAAAAAGAACCATCCAAAACAACACACAAGAAAAGCTATGAGCTGTGTCATACTGAGCAGTAATATACTGTAGGCTGTCACGATAGTGGACACATTTTACAAGGCGGAGCTCAAGTTTTTAACTTTTGTAAGAGTTTTACGACACTTTCAACACAAATATGTCATTTAAGAGCCAAAGATTAGAAATGCTACAAAAGAGTAACATACAAAGAAAGGAAGGAGAGATAAGGATGATTGATGTTTGATTGAAAAGAAGGAACAAAACACAACAGAGAACCTACAACCACCGACAGAGTTTAGGGCCATAGAGTTGCAGAAAAAAAGAAGAGCAGACCACAATCCAAAAACAGAAACAGAGAAAAACACCCCACAAAAGCCAGCATAATTTATGTAGTGCAGATAAGAGAACTGTGCACGAAAAGGCCAAAAACCTATGATCCAACACACTTTACAAGGTACATTAAACAAGCAACACACAACACCACACAGAAAACGATCTTTAAAGCTGCTTGAAACTAAATCGAGACAGAGGCAAAAACAGCTTTGTACGTGCACATATGATGAAGCACATCAACCATTATGAAACTGGACACTAAAGTAAATAATAGCTCCAAAAGAAAAGAAAAAAACACTGCAAAAGGCGTGCAGCAGCTAGCAAGAATGGCAGCACATTGCAGAAGCTTATTCGTGACGCAACCGGCATCTGTCGACCTCTGTGCAGCAAAATATTGTGTCTTTCGATTCTCCCACAAATGGTACCTGTTGCAAAGGCAATGGTGAGGTCATAGAGAGCAGTAGTGGAGGTGGCCTCCTCCCCTTTGAACCTCCAATGAAGCAGCTGTAGAGCCGTATATAGGTAAAAGTAGACAAAACTGCAGCGAGAGGTCGCAAATGACATAGAAGGCCAGCCTCGGTACACGCCTGGGGACTGTGTGGGAGAGACAAGTATGGGCACTAAGGCTGTTGTTGTTGTTGTTGTTCAATTGTTGTTTACCGGGAGTCAGCACAACAGAAGCACTGTTCCGCCCAGATCATTTTAGGCCAGTTATTGTTTCTGTAAGAGTTTATATCCGCACTTGCAACACAAATAGGTTATCTAAGTGGAAAAAATCAGAGGTGGTACCAGAAAGTAACATACAAAAAAAAGAAAAAGGAGAGATTAGGAAAGAAAGAGCAAATCACACTAGAAAGCCCACCAATTTGCGGGTAAAAATTAGACAAAGAGTACTTTTTAAAAGTCAATTTGCTTGTGTAAAGAGTGCCACAGTGATGCAATGAGGGTCATTTAAAGGAGGGGAAAAAAAACCAAAACCGACTGCAACCAACAGGGGGAAAGAGAAGAACTTGGACCCTCCTGAGGAGCCCTCAAACAGTCTTTTTAGTTGTCATTCATAGTTGAGATAGCACAATAGTAGGTTCACTTTGCCAGGGGCAGTTTAGGTCATCAGTTTGTTTATTTGTTTGAAACAGAGATACAGTCTAACTTATCCAAGACAACCACTCCACTCGTTGTCTCCGAAAAAAGTAGTCTCAAACTAGAGACAACATGCAAGAGGAGGCATGAGTAGCGGTCATTTGTACAGTTGGTTGTTGGCCTAAGTTTGGCTGTACTTGTTCAAATATTTCCCCCGCAATGAAATTAAACTCACGTCTCTTAAGTGTAAGGGGAAGAGCTTAACCCTTAGACTTCAGATGATGGTTAAAAAAAGATTTTACAACAAAAATAAAAGAGTCATTTAAAAGAATAATTTAAAAAGAAATAATGAAGGACATCTCCTATCTACAGTACACTAATTCTAGGAATCTGTAACAAAATGAACATCAAGAGTTTAACAAGCAAGGGGGTTGGGGGGGGGGGGGGGTCTACAGATAGAAATGATAGAACCACAGAAAGAATCACAGCACAGATAAAAGTAAACTGCACACTCCAGCTGAGAATTTTGCTTCAATTAATTCTTTCAAGTCATTACAGATTATAAATATTTTGTTCATAGAAACATTAACAACCCTGAAAAGAAATGTTATAGTGCACATTAAGTGTAAGAAGCACAGTTCAGTTACTTGAGAAACTGGTGTAATAGAGGGAAGGAAGGAAAACAAATATCACAAAAAAATACACACTAGGAATACAAATGCATTAAAAGAAACAAAAAAGCAAAATATAATTTACTATTTAGTTTAACTAAGCCGTTTTGTTGTAATGTTAGTGCAAGCAGTGGCAATATTCAGCTATCCTGTATTCTCTCAAACAAGCTTTTCCATAACAGTTTCCGACTGAAATGAAAATATTCTGCACATAAATATTCAAAGCTACAACCGGAAAGAGCGCTTAACGAAAGTCAAGAGAAAGATCAATGTAATTTGAGAATGTTGCTTGAAGCACCAAACTGTCATTACCAAAAAATGAAAGTAATGAAAAGTGATGAGAAGTATTAAAACAGAATGTTACAGGCAGTAGCTGTACAGCCTACTCTGCTGTGCCTAGGCAGACGACGTATCTACAAAAATTATTAATTTTTTAATCTTCATTTCAATGGACGCCTATCCCCATTCTACATCTTGTGTCAAAGGCAGGAAGACGTATCTGAACTACAAATAGGATATTTCACTATGGCAAACAGACATAACTGATGGGCCATGCCCATATTTCCAATTTCAGTGTGACGTAACTCAAAATCAAATAAGGTGCAGATACGTCGCTCTGCCTTGGCATGGCAGAATTAGCTTCACACTTACAACATACATCTACTTCAACAAAAGTACAAAGTTTTATCATTCATAACAACAATGATCACAGTGTCATGCGACCCAAACTCTGAATGAAGAATTATTTTGCAATCAAATTCTTCCATCAAAATCATGCATAAAAACACAGAAGAGGTTAGTCAAACATCATGTTATAAATTATGAGGTAATACAAAAAGGTTTAACATGAGTCACTCTTTCACCAGCTATATTAAAATAGATCAAAATCCTCAGCAAAGAGGAAGTGAAGGTGTTAATAATAATGGTGAGAGAACCACTGACTCAGTGATCAAGCGCACAGGCCCTAAAACATTCAACAAGAAGAAACACACAACAACAGAACGTGCAAGAACAAGCGAGAAACAAGATGGTGCTACCTGCAGCAAAACCCACACACAAGTCAACAAGGGGGGACGTTTTTTTGCGTTTGCCCAGAAGTGACGACTTGATCCCATTGTAAGAATAGAAATAGACGAAGTTGGAGCAGCAGATGGCAGTCACCACAGGAAACCAGCCCCGGTACAGCCCCTCACTGCAACACACAAACATTGATATGAGAGGAATCAACTGACCACTAAAGGTACCATGAGCAAAGACCCACTGAAACAGTAGGAAACAAAAAGCAACAAAAACAAAATATTTGTCACATAGCGGTGGAGCGCTCATATGACCTTAGCAGTTGCGAGCGCCGTAAAACCTTATACTACTACTACATAGCGGTGGAATCAGGTGCTCGTCACTTTTGGGGCATATGGAGTTATTGGTGTCTTCTTAAAGCTTGTTCATTTGTCTATCTTTCGATTTAAAAAATACACATCTATCTTTAATTGACGCTGAGATATGTGCAATTGCAGGAAGTGCGGTCGCTTGATTTCAGAGGTAAAACTAGTGAGAAAACGGTCGCAAAAGTCTGGTATCTTCCAATACTTTAGAGTCTGAGGAAACTTAAATTGTACTTTTTTTTGTGCCTTAAATCAACATTTTTCAGTAAGGACATAAAAGCTGTTGAGCTAAAAGAACAAAATTCGATAAAAAATTGCCCAACTGGCAGAAAAATAGAAAATGCAGATATTTTCAATTTCAATATTTCGACGAGCACCAGATTTCACTACGATGCCTCACTTATTATAAAATTAATATCCACAAAGACTTATTAACAATTCTTCTTTACCAACCAGAATAACACACCGTTATGGTTTTTTAAAACCGAATACAGACAATCTTCATTACTGCTCACTTACTGATTTACAAATGTAACAGAAATATTTTCAAAGTAAACTCAATATAGACTTTAAGTAAGCCACTACGAAGTGAAGATACAACATATATATGCAATGGCATACAAAGTATAAATAATAACTAACAATTCCATAGATAAAAAAATAAACTCAAGCTCATAAACATCAACTGGCAACTGGACAAAGTTTTGTTAAGTAACTCCTGAATAGTTGTCTCAGCCCAAGATTCTGGTATTCGAGAATCAGGAAAAAATAAGAGGATGAGTGAACATGAACTCAACTGTATTGGTAATCATTAAGGCTGGGAGCAACCAATGATTGAGTTAGAACAATTTCCCTTTACTTTAAGATCAACAGAGGTGGATGCCACAACATCTTTAGTGTTCACTTAATCGGCCAATTAAGTTGGTCTGGATATACCATGCATCATTATTCGTTTTTCGGTTCATAAATACCCTTATCCCAATACTCTTCTCTCAGCTCTAGCCCCCGCCCCATTAAAAGTAAAAATTCTGGTTCCGAAGAAAAGGGGGATCTTAGGCCAACCAAGATGATAGGAAATCGGAATCTAGATGAAGACAATTGCACACAGAGTCAGCAAAATACATTCTATAATCTTCTATATACTATATCATGTCTTTCTCTTTGGTGGAAGACAAAACAATGGCTTCTTTGTGATGGAATCTTCCTGGAGTGTTTACAACACAGGCATCAACTGTCACCAATCCTGGACGTCCTTTTTCGCCTTTGTAACTTCACACACTGTGTACAACTTGCTTTGTGACGGACGTCGGACAAATATGTATTTTTTAGTGGAAAATTTAAAAGCACAAGCCAGTCCCAGAGAAAAAAAAAATGTCAGCAATACTCAAGGGCAAGTGCTTCTTGTCAAGTCAAATGATACACAGACAAAACTTTAAAAAAGGGCCAGTAAAATGTAAGTGTTAGTGCCAGAAGAGAGAGTTATATCAAGAGAAAGTCATTGTGAAACTGAAAAGTAGCAGCAACATAAAGGGGGCGGAAATTAAAGAAAACATCAAAATGTCATCTATGAAATTAAAAACAAGGAAAACAACTGTAGCCAGGACTTCAGTCTAATACCTGACTGCAGTCAAAGAGAAATTACTTCCCAAATATTCTTGTGACATTTATCTATTTATAGAAACATTACCTTCTCCCTCCGAGACCTAACATTGACAACACAGTCTATGGAACATTACAGTAACTGCAGCAAACCTGCACTTATCACTACATGGCATTGGACAGAAGGGCGAAAGTCCACCTGTTGCTGGATCGATAACAACAACAACAATAGAAATATTAAAAGGAGAAAAAATAAAACAAGACAGCAAATGAGACTCTGAAAGCAACACTTGATTTGAGGAAAAATAAAACCACCCCCCCCCCCCCCCCCCCAAAAAAAAACAAGATAAAAATCTGAGAGTACAAACAACCGAGTCTCCATTTCATTATGAGCAAGGCCTTCACACAAACCCATCCGAAGCAACATGGGAAAGAGCTTGAATAATGTATGTCATTTTCTGTGCATCAAAACTGGTAGACACGATCAGCTGACAAAATACTAACTCTTGCACCGTTCCATCCTTTGAAAGCAAAACCCATGAAAGCAAATCAGTATGTGAATATTTTATGCATATACACTTATTGTCTAAACATGTTAAACGGGTTCCAAAACATTTGAGTTCAAATTCACACAAAGGAGCAGGCCCACACACACTTTTATACACACACACACACACACACACAAACACACACGCTATAATGGCTGTATGCAACTAAGTTTGACTTTCTATGCCATGTGAACAATCTCTAATTTCATAATAGCAATTTTATTAAATCAACAAAAAACAAGATTAACTTACAGCCCTTCCTCAGTGAAGATGTCTTTGAGCACTTGGAAAGTATTTTTGGCTCGCCTTTGATCATCAACTTTTAAAATGAGAAAAAAAGTAATATAACATGAATTAATATACCTGAAAAATTATGGATGTTTTTAAACACAAATTTAAGGTGCTACCACACTATGAAAGTTTAAATATGTACCAAACAAAGGTCTAGTTTGATAAATTGTGACAATTCTAATTCTTGAAAACCAATGGCATGCTTTACTGCTTCAACTATAAACTACTAAAGTAAAAGAAAAAAGATATAAAAAAACAAAAATGCAAACAGCAACTAAGATTCATTTAGAAATTCTATAAACATCTCATAAATGATACACATTAGACAGTGCCCATTTTGTCCAGTTTGGCAAATAATCTCCATTTTCCTAGACCTTCTCTTCAGATGACTTTTTTCTGCAGGCCCATCACTGAAAAATCCAGAACCAAGCACAACCCTCCTTTAAACACCTAAATTGAAGAAAGGACCTAACACATTCAAATGGTATTAAAATGTCTCTCAAGTGGACTAAGCGCCACGTCACATAGATACAGCTGGAGATCATAGCGCAGAGCAGTTGTATTGAGTATTGAGCCATTTCCACAAAAAATGAAAACATTTGGTTGATGGTCAAAAACTGTAATAAAAGCCATTCTGAATCCTAATTAAAGCAAAAATCATTCTTTTCAAACAAGTAATCCAACGACTCCTACCTTGCAACCGTGTCCTCACTGTGTCGAGTGGGTAAAAGACTGAGATAGCAACCACACTGCCCTGTGGACAACACAAAATTGGAAGTGTTATAAAACAGAAATTGCAATCCAACACATCAGAAAATGTTCACTCTTTCACTTACCGTCTTATTCAGAGTCACCAACCGAACACCTACTGCTCACACTACTGTGAAAATACTTTATTCATAATCCACATCTCAATTCTTTTGATGATGTTGTAGGTCGGTAGGTATGTTTTTTTGTTTTTTTTAATTGTTTTACGTCTTGGGCCAAATAAAAGCAAACCATTTTGACAGACGTGTGAAAACAGCACAAATTATAAATGCCAACACATAAATCAAAAACCTTTTTGTGTTGTTAACAATGTTTTCATTTTTTTAAATAGTAAAGGTCGTATACTTTATTTTCAAGGGTTAAAAAAACGATTTTTATATAAGTAGTTGAGATAGGACAGGGGAAATGAATAGTTTCCTTTGATATAATTTGATGATGTTGAAGACCTTGACAAGGCTGGCAAGCTGTTCCCTCTGTCACACGGCATGAATCTTATAGTAGAATATCACTTTTCTGCTATCAGTTTGCTTAAATTAAAAAACCCAGCAATACTTAACATGCATTTTACATAAATTTACTTTCACCCCATCACACAGATGACAATGACTAATGAAAATCTTAATTCATCTCAAAGGGAGAAATTTGTCTCGGTCATTTACAATGGCAGTGGATGTTATAAAGGTTAGGTGCACTCACACACGCAACAAGACAGGACATGGTATTAGAAATATATCTTTTACATATGCTGAAACAACCTGCTCCGTAAAACATTCTCACTATCAGTATCTCTCCTCTCTCTGTTTCATTTCTAGCACTGCGCGTTTAGTAACCTTACTGTAGTTGGTACAAAAGAATTTCAATATCTGTCTGTTCCTGGTTTTTTTTAAAATGTATATATATATATCGCTTACTGAGGGTCGATGATTGAAATTCCAGTGTCGGTGGGTGGCTATGGTCACTTAGCATTATTTCTGCCTTTCTTATCTAAAGTGTTCGTCTTTTGAAAATATTCAAAGTTATAGGTCTCTATCAACTGTTCTTGATGCCTTTGTATGATATACTGTCTTCCCAAGTTGAGAAATAACAAAATTTATCAAAGTTCCTATTGAGGAAGTGTTGAACATCTGATGCACTGCTTTAGGCATCAAACTGCTGTTAAGTAATATACATCTGGCCACTAAAACTGTCGCCGACAATTTTTAAAAAAAAAAATTTCAAACCTTTCTGCAAAACATCAAACTATATCGGGAAAAAACGAGGGGCATGTATGAACCTCAGGACCACAGGGGACATCATGTATTGTATGAACCTCGGCATGCCCCCACGATTGGTCCAAAACCTAAAAATAACTCTATGCGAAAACGTGAAACAGTATAGGTTAACACTATCAACACTATTTTTAGGCAGGTTATTTGAAAGAGGAGGGACCTCCGAGTTTTAACGTCCATCTCCGAAAGGATCGAAAATTACATGCAATTATTAGGTTTTAAAGTGTGAACATGGTTCAAATAAAAACCATCTGATATTTTGACTATGGAAGGACTTCCATAACGGGGGTAACCAGTCACTTAGTCACACAGCCATCTCGTCACACCCCAATTATGTGTAACGAAATGACTTCCATTCTCTTCAAAATTGTTATGCTAGTGGAGTTTTGGAGGATCAGCCTAAAGCTTTTTTGAAGTTATATATACATTTTTATTACTAATGTAAATTAAATGTTCGTCAAAACTGTTCCATAGTTGAACCATAGTTGAACAATTGTTTAAATAAGGCAAAAACAATGTCTGGTAAAGAGTTAAAAATTAAGGCTTTATGTTTGAAAGTAAGGGTCTAGCTTTTAGCTAAATCACAGTACCGTACACTTCTATACTAATTTATTTTTAACAGAACTAATCCAATCCTCAACCCTAACCCTCTATTCTATAGAGGCCTATTATTCTATCTAGATCTGGATCTATTTATAGTGGTCACTCGTTAGGGAATTTCTCCCTCGATTACTATTAATTTTTAATTTGTGACGAATTACGTCAATATTCATATAAAACAGATAAAAATGAACTAGAAAAGGGTTTTACTGGCTGACTAAATACTTAGAGTAGAGGAAGTGGTGTCTGCGCTACCCTAAGCATAAAAAGTGACCTTGCCAGTTCCCGGTGAGAGAGGAGGTAACCCCACAATAACTGATGAGAAGCAAATTTCGTCTGCTATCGTCGGCCCAGGGCGCTATGCCTGCTTTGTTTGCCTGTCTCCCTCAGTAGTGGCATTTGTGAGGCAAAGTGAGGGCGGGTGTGTGCGACAATGAGCGGGGGTGCGCGTTCCTGCTTGAAGGTGGTGCGTTTTATGGAGGGGCTGCGCCCTAGGATAGGGCGGGTCTTGCACCATGCCCTAATAACGTTTTACTATGAATCTTATAGGCTAACGTATAATTTTCTAACCACAAAGGAGGAAATATTCTTACAAATTACACAGGAGTAAAGTTACAAGTGGAACTCAATTTTTATGTATAGCCAAAAGAGAAAGAAAAAAAAAAATAACGGACGCCAACACTTACAATGGAAACAGTAATCTATTAGTAAGTCTAGATAACTTGGAAAATCAGGAATTAAATTATATAAAAGAACTGCAAAATACATTACATGTGGATTTAAACGCACATGGACAAACAAAGATAATGTTCACACTAATAGTATGATGAAACAAATTGGGATGGGGAGATTAGTCAACACAGCAAAAGAGCTCGATGTCCATGGCATCCAGGTCTTCCAGAGTTTTGTCCTTCAGGTCCATCTGTTTGACACAGTCGACTGTAATATTCCCGCAATCGTCGGAGCTGTCGTCATACACCGGCTCTTCTCCTGAGTCAGAGGAATCTTCATCCTCTTTCTTCTTCTGTGAGGCCATAACCAAAGCATTCATCTTCTTCTCCTGAATTCTCCTCTTTCTCCTTTGATTTGCCTGCTCCCCTTGTTTTTTCTTCTTTTTGGCGTTCCTTCTTGTCTTCAGCTTGCGCTAGCTGTTCCATCTTTTTCTGCTCCCTTTGCTTCTTCCTCTCTTCCTTCTGCTGCTGTTCTTCTTCCGCCTTCCTCTTCTTCGTGAGCACCATCTCTTTCTTGTCATTTCCACTGATGGACGGTGGCACAGGTGGCCGAGCCCTTCTAGCAGCCTAGTTCTTTGAACATCACGGCAACGTGAGCACCTTGTCGATAGTCATCTGCCTGGAGGGGGTCTGAGGTTCCAGGCTCTTGCTGATGGCTGGGAGAGCAGAAGAGCCAGTTGTTCAATATTGTCCATCAGAATGGACCACATGTTGTAGTCGGGGTCGATCTTGGGGTACAGGTCTCCCTTCTCCTCCCCAAGCTTAAAGTTCATGGAGCATATTTCCTTGAGTCGATGACGACGAGTTTGTGACGTCCTGGATGGGGCAGAGGCAGACGAAGTGGGTGACAAGTGGAGGGTAGGGACAGGGGACCTTGTGAAGGTGCAGCTGGGTTCAGCTTGTCACTTGTGAGGACAACGTCAGGGTTGTAGGGAAACTGCCCTGACTTGGTGAATCCCCTCATGGCTGTTTCCGTCCGAGCTGCTGGTCCAGAGGCTGTGTCAGGTGGCTGGTGTGGGCCTTGATGCAATAGAATATTACCCCATTCTCGTTGCAGAGGTCTGAGACGCGAAACCCCGCCATACCAGACGCCATGTCGGCACTGCGCGTCTACCCCCCATCCATCCCCTCAGAGAGGCAGAGCGGCTCCATGCTTCGCTTTGCACTAATGCTACACGCACAACACACTGCTGTGTGTGTAGTACAGTGGAATCCTGTTATAACGAAAAGGAGGGGACCGGAGCAAAATGTCCGTTATAGCAAGATTCTCGCTATAAGGGATCCAGTAATAAATTCAAGGGAAACTGTAAAATAGGCCAAATCTATGATTTTGTGGTTCTGTTTGTTTCCTTTTGATATCTCCCCTGATGATGATTTGGTTTCAACATGACCTTTAGGTCTTACGTGATCAAAAATCAAATCAGGTTTCTTTCTCTAGCGCTAGATCTAGCGATGTTGACTGACAGCTCGGCGTTGGCAATCAGAAAGAAAGGGCTCTCGGCTAACTCGCCCGCTGTGTTTTCCCCCACCCCACCACACCCTGTGGTGCGTTCCGCCAGCTTGCGCTCGTCACTAATTCGCTCCATCCATTACATTGCTGTGACCTCTCCATCCCCGCATCAGAGAAGTGAGAGGAATGGTAGGCCTTGATCATCTAAACTAGGCTTACACTGGCCTATCACGCGATGCGTTCTGCTTGTCACCCTCCCTACTCAGTCGCTCCGGCCTTCATTGTTGACAAACATTGGCTCTCCCATTCTTAGTTTCGCTAGATCACCAACAAGTTTCTCAACTGGCGAGGTTTTACATTATGCATGTATAATTGGCCTATGCATTGTGCACAGCAGCAGCAATATTCCGCTATAACCGACTCGCGTGTCCGTCTGACTGTGCTATTTATATAGCAGTATTTTATTTACAAAGGTAAAGAAAGGAAAAAAACGGGGTTTTAGAATAGTGTCTTTATAACAGACTTCTCGTTTTTTCCGGACTCGTTATAAGTGGCTCCACTGTACAAGTATACACATCTTCATAAAATGCATTGACAGCCTTACAACTGCAGGTCGATGCATTGTTAGAATACGTAATCAGCAAGCCTTGAAATAATTTACCTCTGTGTACGTGCAGTAAGCAACCATATCGACCAACCAAAGATCTCGTGCCACAGGAAAGGACGCTGTCGGGCGTTGATAAATGCGAGAACACTCTAGCACGTCTCAATTGGTTCATACCACAGGGTTGGCGCGCTGACCCCCCTGTCGCACAACCTCGTCGCTACTCTAGGCCTACATTAAGATTTCTGCAGGTCTCTGCATATCTCTCAACTTATCTCTCTCCCTCCCTGTCACTCTCACCACCCTCCTTCTGTAGTGCTCTCTCTCTCTCTCTTTCTCTCTCTCTCTCTCTCTCTTTCTCCCTCTTTCCCAAGGCAGGGTAACAAACGCAAAAGTCCCCATTTTGTAACACATACCACTATTAAATTCTTCTTCTTCTCCTTCCTCTACTCCTTGTATTTCTTCATCTTCTTCTTGTTCTCCTCCTCCTCCTCCTCCATCTACTATTTCTGATCCTCCTCCTTTTTCTTTTATTCATTTTCTTCTTCATCTATGAGGGCTCCAAACCCGCTGTGAGAAGGAAGATGACGGTCCAAGGCGTGAAACTGAAACGGGGAATTCCCAGAGTACAGTAAGCCTACTTAATGTATTCATGAGTCAAATGTTCAGCCAATCGTAGCCCGGTTTACGCTCTCTGTTCAGTAGTCGCATGTTTTAACTCCAATGGCTTCCAGGGCTCCTTTCCGCAGTTCCCTGTTGCAGTGCTGTGGCAGTCTGGAATCCCATAACACATTGTTACAAAAGTTATTCGATAACTTTCTATTATCAAAGATCGTTCATAAGAAGACAGCTCTAGTTCACTTGGCCAAAAAAGTGTCGGCAGAAGTCCGCGCCTTAGTTCAGATATGGTGCTGGAGTCTTTGTTTTGAAGAGCGCTGCACTTTTTCGAAAAAGGCGCCACTGGATTTTCAGTGTCAACATGGACATGTGACTCAGCCTTGTTGTGATTGGCTGCAAACCACTTGATTGCGCGATTCGCAGGCCTGAAAACAAACGCCTTTGTTTCTGTAGGTCACCGACCAAGTCGATCGGTTTGTGCCACGATGGCCGCTTTGCGCCCTCAATTTGGCTACCCCCAGCTACCCGATCGGCCCGACTCGACCCGATCGCGTATGTGGGCACCCCCTATAGCCGTACTTAAGTAGATCGGCACTCTTTGGGAGAAGAGGTTCCGACCTAACTCCATACACGTTTATATACACAAAATCGGAAACAAAAACGGAAGTCGAGAAAAAAAACTGAACTGAGTGGCTTGCCAAATCTATTTGAGACTATTTCTGAATTTTAACATTTTTTTAAAGTGTGCGGAGAACAATTTTGGCACTAAAAACTGCCACAAACCATTATTTTGTGAATTTAGCAGGGGGCGAGACCCTGTAACCCTCCCCTTTTTTTTACCCTACATGATGTCATTCCATGCGGTACCTCCAAAGATTCTCTACTGTATCATGTATATATACACGATCTTTGGTACCTCCACGGCCTTATATAAAAATAGTCTGTGGGTATCCCAGGAAGTGATGACATCACATAACTAAAATTAGCAGCCAATCAGGAAGATGCGTCGTTCTACATTTAGTCGCATGTGGCTAAAGTACGGCTAGCCACTTACTTCGTAGTAAAAGTAAAGGCCACCTTTATTCTCATCCCGGGTGACAATAACCCATGTCTCGCTATTCTCCCCCCCCCCCCCCCCCCCCGGTGAGAATAGCTCCCACCCCGGTGTGGGCATGAGGCGAGGACTCGCCCCTGACCTCTCGCAGGCCGATAAAATCACCTAGGCCCTTTGAGGTTGGAAACGAATATAATTATAATGCAAAAACATTTCTCGCCTCTCCAGTAAAAAAAAAAAGGCTCACTACAAACACTACAGAGCGGGATGTGAGACCGGCCACGGGGCGGACCATTCGTTGTTTACACACTGACTTAACGATGGCTGGCCTCTCACTCTATGCCTGCACACAAGAAATGAATTATGGTTCAAGGAACAGGAGAGCGTACAAACATATGAGATACACGCACGAGACAATAAATGCTCTCGCACAACTGTAGAAGGGTTGTAAATTATTCAGACCAAATGGGCGAGGGCGTTAAATTGTGTTAAAACTAGATCTAGATATATCTAGTTTAATAATTTTTATCAGATCAAGCAATCCAAGCTCTTCCTTCATTTTCATTTTTTTTCTTTTATTCTTTCTTCTCCTATTTTTCTTGCATCTTCTGTCCCCTTCTTCTTGAACATTTGGAGTTTGGAGCCAAAAAAGAGCCAGAGAGCCAAATTAAATTCTCCAGACCAGATGCAATCCAAAAGAGCCAAATTTGTGGGATTTTGCTAATCTGACAAGATCTAGAACATGTCTAGATCTAGATATAATATTCCGATTCAGCACCAGCACTAATCCTGTGGAGCATCAGCCCCAGTAACCTCAGCCCTTAGCCTTTTATACAATTTCCGGTGAAACAAGGGAGGGGGTGAGAATAGCGAGACATGAACATAGGAAGTCTAGACTAAATCTAGATTCTAGCTAGATTTTCTAGATCTAGATTCTAGAGACTAGGGTTAAGGCCACCTCTATTCTCACCCCGGGTGAGAATAGCGCAGGCGAGTCTTTTGGCTATTCTCACCCGGTGGGCGTTCACCGTTATAGCCTAGGCCAACCAGTGAAACGTTCAACCCTGAACCACAGAATTCTACACTGTGATAACAGAATTATAGAATTCTGTGCTGTGAACAAACGTTCTAGATCTATTACTACTGTTAGTGTTAGCCTAAAAGCGTGCAATTTTGTCTGTGGGCAGTGGAGAGAGAGAAAGAGAGAGAGAGAGGAGTAGCACGAGAACTTCCGGGCAAAACAAAATGGCAACCCGCGTAGTTCGGCTCGATTCGGAAGTTAAATATCCGTAGCATCTTTATAGACAACCAAATTAATTTAGTTTTCTTAGTGTAAAATCATTTTTTAACTTTGTTTTGGTCAATTTGATTGTCCACACCGATAGACAGATTCAGAAAGAGACAGAGAGAGAGAGAGGGGAGGAGTAGATCTTGCGAGAACTTCCGGGCAAAACAAAATGGCTTCCTGCGTAGTTCGGCTTGATTCGAAAAGTGAAATAGCCATAGCATCTTTGAAGACGATCAAATTAGCTTACTTTCGTGCTATAACGTAATTTTTTCTTGGCTTTTATCAATTTGATCATCCACACCGATAGACAGTATTCCAAAATGAGGAAAAAACAGGTCTTGTTTCACACCGGGTGAGAATAGCCTACGCTGGCAAGTCTCACCCGGGGTGAGAGGTAGATCGTACTATTCTCACCCCGGGTGAGAATAGTCACTTCCTAGGGTTAATTCTCTCACCCCGAATAACCACTTCCAAAAGTAAAAGAAATGACTAGACTCTAGTAGTCTAGATCTAGTTTTTTATACAAAGTGGGGGAGTGTCTTATACTCTTAGGGGATACATTGTGCACATTTAATTTTACTCACTGTTGCTCCTGACACTGCATGAACGAGGTTGGAGTAGGTAAATAAGTTCGACAATCCAACACCACCCTGCTCTGGCTCCTTTTTTTCCGATACAACAACTGGAACGACATCAGCATACTGGCGGTATGGCTTGGAATTCACTTCTGGTACACATAGAGATATTGATCTACGTCCTGGACCCATTTTGCTTTCATAGGGTAAACCAAGCTGTCCACTGATGACTATCTTTATCTGTTTTCCTGTAGAAGTAGATCTAGATCCTAGAAGGTGATACCGGGTGTTGTTACTAGGACGCTGTACTGACCACTGTTCCGTCTCTCTTTTGGTCATTTAAATAGCAAGTCGACTAAACTAAATGACTAAATGAACTATAGATCTAGGCTAGATCTATGTTCAGAATATTTTTAATGAAACCATTACCTCCACTAAAAAACACTCCCACACCCAGATGTTTAATAACAAGTAACATGAATTATATTATAACATATTTCAGGTCAGTTTTCTCCTTTTTCTTTTGCTTTAAAAACAAAAATCAGTTTTAACTAAGTCTAAGTAATAAGCCAACAAGTGTATTTTCGGTAATTAGCTTGACACTTGACATTTCAAAATTATGAGCTGCATTGATAAGGTTCAAAATAAAAATACTTTTCAAAGCCAAATATGATCATGCATTCATAAATTAGTAATCGTATCTCATTTTATTGGATTACTTGTGGATCTTTAAAAGATGAGTCTACCTATCACTGATATTGTATAATATAGTTTACAGCTACAATTTGATCTGTAATTCAGTTAATATGTTTTTATTTTGCCAAGAAACTCCTCGCTTCCTACTTCCTACTTCCGGGAACAATCAAAACTGAAAGTAGGATTTGTTTACAACTTTCAACGGTGGAAGATCACACGTGGTTCTTGTGTATGGATGGAATTTCATTCAGCTGATTGAGACCAACAGCACTAAAAGATGAGCCGACTAAAAACTAGGTGCGCACTTGTTGTTTTTATTGTTAGATTTAGATAAAAGTGTTTGTGGTAAATGCGAGTAGGCCCTATTATACTAGATTCTAGATCTAGATCTAGATTCTAGATCTAATCTAGATATTAGATATAGATCTAGATCTAGATCTAGATCTAGACTATATTTACTAGCCTAGGGCCTCTTGGCTCTAGGGCTAGATTTCTAGATCTAGATTCTAGATATAGATCTATCTAGATCTAGATCTAATCTAGATTCTAGATCTAGATGTAGATATAGATATCTAGTTCCGTTCGTTAAAGTCCACAATCCATTTGTTTACTTCCAGAGAAGAAATCCAGAAGTCTTGAAGACCAAATACTAGAATCTAGTAGTCTTAATCTAGATTCTATTTGAATTAGGCTACACAAAGAGCAGGGATGCAACCTAACTGCAAAACATCAAATTAGGATAAAATTCAGGGGAGCATGCCCCCTTGAACCCCCCCACCTCCATATTTTTATTAGGTCAGGGGGGCAAGCCCTGAAACCCCCCTACTCTTGACTTTAACGAACGAAACTACAAAATCGCCCTAGAATCTAGACTAGATCTAGATTAGATCTTTGTGACTTTGTGAGGACCCGCAGGTATCAGGATCAGCTGCGTTCTGCACTTCACATTTCGTCCTTGCATTTATAACCGTAGATCGGCACTCACAATTGGGTACCCAATTGCCATTAATTGCGGGTGTACAACTTGACTTAAGAATCTGGGTCCCGTTTGGGGATAGTAGGCCTAGATCTACAAGTTTTGACCTCAACGAAAATTAGATCTAGATTCTAGATCTACTTCTGGTTCTGAACGATTACTTTTTGATACACGTGCTGATAGGCCTGAGGAGAGATAGCCTATAATAGCGGCCTATAGTTCAAACCTAATAATTGCAAAACATCAAATTATGGTCAAATTCAGGGGGGCTTTCCCCCCTGAAACCCTCCACCCTATTTTTATTAGGTCTGGCCTGAAACTAGATTCTAAACCCCCCTGTTCTTGGAGCCAAAATCGGCGAATAACAATTGCGGGGTGGGAACTACCGGAAAAACGCTGAAACACCCCCCTCCATGTTTTTGTTAGATCGCCCCTGAAGGACCTGTTGCCTTGTTAAAACCAAGTGAAATTTTACTTTAAAACCAAGTGAAATTTTACTGCTCATTTTGTTAATTTTGTAGGTTAGGTCTACTGATAAAACATCGACCAACTGCGGTCCCGTTTAGGGATACAGTAGTCTCCGCCTAAGTTCCCGGTGCTCCGGAGCAAGGAAATGCGGGATCTTAGGGGAACTGGGTTCTTAACCGATTAACCCCGGGAAGAATCTATGGTGACCCATGTTAAGGCTCACAATCTGTAAAATGGTCTCCCTCTACTCTAAAATGAACTGACGTAGCCCCTGGGTGGGTTTATGACATATGGCGAGCAAAGAGTGGTTAACCTTGATGAACTATCACAGTGCTTAGTGGCATGAGACGTGCAATTTTCACTTCACGGCTGTCTAAATCGCCCCAAAACCACCGGTTTAGTTACCGGGCAAGTTCATTCAGAGACTCTATGCCTCTCATATGTGTGACCCATTGCAGTTTAACAATTTTTACTTAGGAACACAATTCACTTGAACTGATTGCCAGTCACTGCAAAGTGCTGGAAAAACAAAATTCACATCATTAGAAAATATGATTTGATGGCAATCACACCAGCGCAAACAGAAATAAAGACCAACGTTTCATTCTCGAATGATTTGTAATTAAATTTGAAGAGATCACGTTATTAACAGCGCTTCCGATCTCTTAACACTCACAATTTAAAACTGTTATTATTCCCAAACGAACCAATGAAAACTGTTGAAACTTTCACAAGATATCAAGCAGACGTAAACGAAGCGAAATTGATGAAGAAATAGATTCTAGGGGTAGAGTGAGCGTCATTTTACGGCTCATGAAATTAGGGGAAGAAACGCGTTCTGATAAACACAAGATAGGACAGCCCAGTGCACGAGTTGACCCCGGTCAATCCCCGACTTGACGCGTGAAATTGCAGGTCACCTGCCGGTGATTTATGGCCTACCGCGTGGGGCCCGGGCTAACTAAAAGATCCCTGAGACGGAATTCTGGACGCCGTGTACAGTAAGACAAGAAAAGCAGCTGAAACCTACTCAAATTTGTGGACCGCTTTTCGGTCTGATATATGTGCTAGTGACTGTTCGATATGCACACACTATCATCGCACATCAATCGGGAGCAAGAACATTCCAGTAGAATTAGAAACAACAAAAGCATCGGAAACTACAGAGACAACACATTCACCACATACATTTGGAGACTGCAAAGTCAACAATCAACTCAACTGCAGAGCCATCTACACAAACACATACAGAGGACAATACTAGGCATGAAGAAAGACAGGACGAAGACATCTCATCTCTCGACACTAGTGCTGCATCATCAACCATAAGCCACAGTGAGGTTGAGCTTCAAGTCCCCCCCTATTGCTACGTCCACGCCATCCAAACCTACACAGCATGTGGTAGATAGCATTACTTCTCCAGCATTTAAACACAGCAAGCTCCTCTCTCAGACTCTAGAGATCTCTCCAACGCGACCACTAACAAAAGAAGAAGAAAAACTTAATACTCATTTAGTTAAGAGAAAATTAAACAGTCAAACGCAGGAAAACGACGCAGGACTGACGAATTTTCCCAGTTTCAGGGGTAGGCCTACATATATGTATCATGTACATGTGTAAATGAGTAGTAAGTGCACTGTGATGATATTTATCAAGGACCCTAATTTTCTGTGATTCTATATTCAAGCTTCAATATCTTTGTTTTGATGAAGCGCACAATGATGCCACCACATGAGTGTTTTCTTTATCCTATTTTCATCATGCTACCGTAATTTTGTCAAAATCAAAAGATAGAATCATGTTCTATTTTTACTTAAAACATCTGACCCCTTAACAACTTTACATAATTACCATACAGTTTTATGGCAACTGTAAGTCTGTAACAGATCACTCCTACGTGCCCACACTATATTGATCGTTCAGTGTGTGTGATTTTCTGTGAGATTACTAGAATATTTTTTGTTTACTGCCTCAGTTTATACGCTTAAAAAACATTGTGTGATAAGAAAACAACCGTAATTGGGCATCGGCAGTGAACCGGTGGCGCTGACGCGGTGACCGGGGTCACAGAGTATCGGGTTATGGGGAGTGCCGCGAGCTGGCGGTCGGTAACAGCCGTGTTATTATCCTATCGTGTCGTGAGTCTCAAGACTTGCACGCTTATCCAGTTGCCCCTCCCCTTTACCTATCGAAAATTTATAACTTTCCATCTCTGACCGAGTCCCCCCCCCCTCCATTACGTTGTGACCACACCAATTAAAATTCAGTCTGTCTCGCAAATTCGGGAGTAGAGACAACTGCTGCAATGGTCAGAGAAGAGTTCACGGTTCAATATGATCCCGCCTAGAGCGAACGTGTAGGCCCTACCCACCCAGCGAGTAATGGCCACCCAGCGAGTAATGTAAGTTTAGGGGGAGAGCTCTGCCGTCGTAAGGGAAAACGACGAATGGTCCTGCGCAGGTAGCGAGGCAAATTTTTCAGGAGAGGCAAAAACTGTTTTCACTTTATAACTCTTCTATTTTTCACTCTTTTAAGCTGTAATTCACCAGATATCTGATTGGGGTGCTCACAATACAGTTTCTTAAGTTTGAATGGTTTAGGTTAAAAGGAAGCAAAGTTATTCGACATTCGTCGTTCTCCCTTACTCTGCGCACCCGCGATGTACACGAAAACGACGAATGGTACAGTTCTTCCTTCTCCCTTACACTCGTGAACGTTTATGGGAGTAGGCGATGGTCAGTTGTGACGCATTATTGACAGTAATGACTGTGTACTGGTTACTACAAATAAAAATAAAACGTACATACAAACTAGCTATTATTTTATGTGTAAAGTTAGGTGTTTGTTATATCCCAACTGTAACTCGGTAAACGTCCTTCATTTGCCTTCCTCGCTTGGTTAAATACTACAGTCAGCGTACAAATCAGATGTGCGCACATTTTCAACTGCTTGATTTAAAACTGTCTCATTCAGAACAAAAGTTTGATCTCCATGATATCTCTTTATTGTATTCTCTTCAGAAGCGATTTTACTTTTATTTTCGTTAATTGCAAAATGTACCCTGCACGACCAAAAGGATCAACAATGTTACAATGTCAATAATACAATCAGATCATTGCAAAGTCAAACTTTCTCGTACGAAATGTAACAATCTGACAAGACTGTATCACAAACGCTTTCAGGAGAGGTAATACGGCGCTTTGTATTTAATAAAGGATTCAGTTGATCGGATCGGAAAACATACCACAAAGTAGAGATCGACAAGGACAGTTTGAATCTGCAAGACATTATTATACTCGATCGTAACGTCCATCAAGTCATAAAAAATCGTAAAGCAAGACTAAGTGTCGCCACAATACGTCCACTTTTTAAGCTGGACAAAGAAATTTACTCTCATAAGGCAGTGTCATTAATTGCTTGGTAATTCTATAAGGATGTCGACCAGTGACACGTGCTAGACAAAATTGCGGCACTATAACCATCGTTGGGATTTGGGATGTCAAATGACTGGACAGCAAACTAACATGACGTTAGTCTGTCTGTGAACATCTGGCGGAAGCTAATATGCCGTGCAAATAAATTTCTCCCTTAATACTTTTTTGACCCTCCCATTCCCACCCCTTTCCCCCTGTTCCCATCCGTTTTCCCCTCTCTCCCGCCTGCTCTTCTCAATTCACACAATCAGCATAGGCCTGAAGACAGACAGAAAGACACACTAAGTGATACATTCTTATAAACCTGGTCGACGGTACTCTGGGGGAGGGGGTGGTGCTGTGGGTTGTTTTTTAAAAACCTAGTATGTTTGTACTGACGCAACAGTGACCAATTGTCATCCGTCGCCCATGTCAAATTTTCCCTACGGCAGAGACCAGGGGACAATGCCGAACAAGCAGTGATCCTTGACCGATCGACCATTCGTCGTTCTCCCTTACACTGAGCTCTGGCTCGGAGCTCGCCAGTGTACGGGAAAACGACGAACTCTCAATTACGCAACAACGGATTAGGATAAGACAAAAAATTTTACACCATCAGATGCATAATTAAATACTCTATGAAATATATAAAAATACAAAAATCGAAAAATTGTGACCATTCGTCGTTTTCCCTTACGAAGGCAGAGCTCAGGTGTGAGTGCGATGTGTGGGGAAAACAAACGTGTCAGTCTGTTCACACCCCGGTGTGATCCCGTTTGGGGCAAACATTGCATGGCTTCTTCGAGTTTTACAACGTGTGTATGTGATCACATTCACGTGAGTGGCTGATCTTTGACGCGACGGTCAGTTTATTGATCTCAACTTTTCAGTCGTGGTTGATCGGCAGTGCCCGCCCGCGTTTTTGTTCCTCATGTCATGATCTGAAATGCGGGATCTTAGCCGAATCGAATGCAGACCTTCAGAGTGAATCAGAGTGAGATCTTAGGGGTGACTTTTGTATTTATATAAAAATTCTGTTTTCTGAAAACAGCGGGATCTTAAGCGAACCGGGATCGTAAGCAGTGGGATCTTAGGCAGAGACTACTGTACTTGTTTTGACCCCACCAACGATTACTTATGGTTCTAAACGATTACTTTTTGATTCACGTGCCGATAGGCCTGTGGAGAGATAGCCAATCAAACCTAATGGCAAAACATCAAATTATGGTCAAATTCAGGGGGGGCAAGCCCCCCTGAAACCCCCAAGTTAAATTACTGATATTTTACTGCTCATTTTGTAGCCTAGGCTAGATTTACTGATAAAACATGATACCAAATATTTAAGTCAGTGTCGATATCCAGTAGCCATTGTTGTGTGATTTAGTGCTAGATCTAACGGGACCGTTATTGTACAGGAGTGCCCATAGATCTAGATTCTAGATATTGGTTTTTTTTTGTGTGTGTCCTTTTTTTTTTTTTTTTTTTCACTTTTGTTTAATGTTCATAGTGTGAAATGGCCTTCACTCAGCCCATATAAAATAAACCTGAAACTTATCTGTACAACTTATAACTTCTTCTATGTGCTGTTCTGTGTCTGTGCTATAGACTATTGGCCTACGTATATATGTGCACACTCAAAGACACCCTTACTCCTCCCCCTAGAAGAATTGAAATCGAAGTGGCTAGCCAGTCTAGCCGTACTTAGATCTAGGTTTGGCCCTATCGACTCAAACCTGTTAAGTACACAGGTCTTATTAGGTCTAGATCTAGTAATTATTCAGGTTCAAATACATGCAAGTCAGTAAGGCACCTTTTGATTTTGTCTGAAATACAATACTTTAGGCATTGTAAACTAAAAATTTCATTTACAATTCAGCCATCAATATTAAGTACAGCTAGCCTGACAGTCTAGCCGTCCTTAAGTACGGCTAGCCTGGCTGTCTACCCGTACTTAAGTACAGCTAGCCAAAAAGTCTAGCCGTACTTAAATACTGCTAGACTGCCCGTCTAGGCGTACTTATCTTAGGCCCTATTAACATTAGAAAACAGGAGGTTTAAAATACATGCACCGTCATTAAGGCACCTGGCTTCGTCTCAAATACAAATATTTTAGGTACTGCAAACTAAAAATTTATATATTTACAATTCAGTAGGCCTTTTTTTTTAATGGTCAGTCTAGCCATCTCATATCAAGAATAAGTACGGCTAGCCCAGCTGTCTTGTCGTACTTAAGCTAGCCTCTTCCAATTGAAATTTTCATGAATTTCATTCCGGTTCTATTGTTTTAATCATTGTAAAATATATTTTTAGCACTTTGGAACAGGGAAAAGAGTGGCGGCACTTCAGTCAATTAAAGACAGGAGTAGAGTAGTAGTAAAACTTACATTAAATTTGTGGAACAGTTATAACAGTGACATCATTTTTATTTTTCAGCTTTGCCCTTAGTGAAAAGTTTTCAGCCTTTTTCACTGGAGGACAACTTCAGGTATTGTCACCCTTTAAAAAGTTTTCATGTTCATTTTGCTTGTTTAAAAATACTCTTCAAATGTTTATGCTTGAAGGGAAAGATATTCCTGGATCAGAACTGCTTTTAGGCTGATATTACTACTGTATCTGAGATTACTGAAGTGTACTTGATGAGTAAAAACTAGTACTTAATCGCGTTCGTGTGACCTCATATATATATATATATGCAGTTTTGCGAGCACCGTAAAACACTTACCCCCCAAAAAAGGAGTACTTAATGATAATTTGTGGCTTTTTTCCTGATTTTGCTTACACATTTTTCTATTTGTTCCTTTTACAATTTTTTGAATTGGTTCGTAAAGATTTTTCTCTTGTGAAAAAATATATAATTTGCTGAGCAGAGTGTTTTTCAGTTCTTTTTTGTGCAGTTTTGGATTTAACTCATTGTTGACGGCCTATGAGAAGGCTCATATCCAGGCAGCCACCTACCTGGCCATGAGAAAATCTGAATACTCTGTTTCTCTAAAACTTGCTCCAGTCCATCATTTCCAAGTTTTAAAAAAACCTTTAGCCTTTAGAGTTACCTTTCATACACATCTATGCACTTATTGTCAGCTAATTTTGTAGCTGTTTGGAGGGAAAGTTATTATATCGCAGTTTTAGTGTGGGTACCTAAATTTGTGAGTGAGGCTGGAGGCGGTCCAGGTGGGTTTGCTGCTCGGGGATGCAACTCAGGTCGATGTTGTTTTACTCAGTTACTGAATAAAAGTTTATGTTGTTGTTTGTGCATCTTTTGCTTTATCTTCCTACAGGTGACAAGTGATGGGGGCAAACTTTTTTGTTCTTGTGGCAAAGAGATCAAAGTTGTAGATGTCAAAACAGGAAGGGTTGAGTCAACTTTTGGACAGGTACGCACATAATTTGTCTCATTCATGTAAGTCCTATGTGCAACGGGCTTGCCAACTATCCCGAATTTCCTAGGACTGTCTCAGATTCTACAGTCAGGAATTTGAGAAGAGATATTTCACCAAAGTTAGTCCCACTTGATGTAGATTAGCAGATTTGTACATAGGTACATAATGTTATAACACTGGATGTCCTGACCGTAGTTAGAAAAAAAATTGGGAAGCCTTATAAAATACTGGGTAGTTCAATTTTTAACTCTTGTCAAATATGGGTTTAAAAAAATGTTGCACATAAGTCTGTGATTTATAGTTTAGAATAAATTGTCATCCCAGTGGACAGTCCAGTTCCGTTGCTTTTCATTTTTGTTGGTCCCCCTCTCCCTTATATGCTATATCGTGTGTAATTGAATTTTGTTTGCACTTAAATTTCATACTTTTGGGGAGGGGGCTCTCATGGCCTAGAAGTTAAGATGTTCACCTCTCATTCAATAGGTCCGGGGTTCGAATCCGGAAAACAACGTACATTTTTCCTCTCTGAAATTGTCTCCTTTCACCTCCTTTCTTGCTCTCTAGCAATGTTCTGTCGTCTGCTTTCGTCTCCACTTTCTGCCCCCAACCCCCTCACCTCCTCTGGGCTCCTGACTCTTTCTGCAGCCTTTCTACTGTCTGCTACTCTTTGGCTCCTTCTTACTGCTGTCTTTCAACCACTCCCCTGATCTTAGGGTAGGAAATATCTACACCTAGCCTTTTTGGGCAGGGGCGAAAAATCTCGGGAGGTCCCATGTGCAAGCTGTGCTCGTTAAAGATCCCTTGGCGGTCCAAAATCGATAAGAGTAGGCTTGGGCTGCCACCCACGAAAAATTCAAAATTTCTTTTATCAACTGAAAATGTTTAATGTGTCCCATGCGTTCATATGATCTTATGCAGTTGCGAGCGCTGTAAAACACTTAACAAAAAAAACAAAAAAGGTACTGTTGGGGTCCATAGTTGCTTCCACAAAATGATTTTTTAGAAACAAAACTAATCCTTTAAATACAGAGGGTTTTCATTAACCTAATGCCTGCATAGCTGCAGGTCTGCACGGCTTCTTAAAATGTAAAGGCAATTTAGAATGAATTACAAACACTTTGATGCAGTATCTAATGTATGTGATTTTTACCTTTTTTGTAGGAGGAAGATGAAGAAATCACCCAGTTCGTTTTAACAAAGGATGATGAAGTAAGTGAATCGTATAAATATCTTTCTAAATATGATTTTTTTTCCCCATGTTTTATTTTTCATGGACAAAAATATGTGAATTCTTCAAGATAACCAGATACAGAGCTGTGTAAGTTCCTCAAATTATGGACTGAGTCATTTTGTTTCTTATGTAATAACTGATTTTGTTTAATTAATTATTTTTGCACACTTTATTTGAAAGAGGTATAAATTGCGATGTAATTTTATGAAGGATTCACATTATGACTGAAAGTTAAGTACTAAAGTTTGAATTTTTTATTAATGTGATAATTCATATAATTAAGGCAACTAAAATTGTTTTGATGCATCCATAAGACTTAATGAAATAGTGATCCAGATGATTTTAAGAAACTTGAAGTGTTGTTTCTGAAATTATTTTATGCTTTTTGTATGTGTGGTTTTTTTTACTCACATAGTAGTTGTCCTACAATATTTTTTTCTCTTTTTGTATACAAATTCAAATAAATTGTTTTATGTTTTCTTATGTGTCATGCGGTTATCTGATAGACTTTAAATAACATTGCTTTTATTTTCTTGCTCTTTTAGTTCCTCATCTTAGCCACACAGAATCAGCTGTTTAGGCAGTGGAAGTGGAAAGATAAGCTCTTGGTCAAGACATGGCGGGTGAGTGGATGGTTGTCTTGTAGAGATGTATGATCTTTTTTTTTAAAGTACCCCCATGTTAGAAAACTTTCCAAATATGCTCAGATGGTGTTCATTCTAATGCTTAGAAGTTGTGATTATAAGATTCAATGCTGAGGCAAAGTCATGCCAAAGGAAGATATGTATGTGTATTTAGTGTATACAGTATGTCTGTGAGTGTTTATTATTCATTGTGAGTACTTTTTATAGTGGTGTATCCCCAGAAGGCTCACAGACTTTATAATAACCCACTTGGCAATTCTGTTCATTGTGAATTACATTTTCGGTCTCAAGGTGGAGTTACAGAGCTGCATCCTGTGAAGTGCATGTTGCTATCCCTCATTACTGTCTATGCTGGTTGCCAAGTACTCATTTGCAAGTGGGTGAAATGAAGAAAACCATGTAAAGCATCTTTCCTCTATATAGCCAGGAATGGAACTCAAAACCTTTGAAATGCAAGTCTGTCACTAAAGATGATATTAATTGGATAGTTTGCCTCAGTAGATACTGAAAGGGAAAGGAATACGGGTGGGACATAGGAACCTCAGAATGCCTCTGCAACCCTGGCAGACGAATCAGCAATCTGTTACTGATGGAGACCATCAAAATGACGACCTTGATTAAGAGGGACCCTGCTAAGGAGGGGTGTGGAATTGTGGATAGAATCGGTCTGTGAAGACCAAAGTTCTCGAATCAAATAATCAAAGTTTGTTCAATTGTATTAATCTAGAGATGTTTTTTCATGTTATGGACTTAAGATTTCCTTTGTATTGTAGAAGTTCTCTGTTTCCTATGTTTTTCAGTCAGTGCACAATGCACCAGTAACCTCTCTGGCTTTCGACCCTACGGTCACACTGCTTGCCTCGGGAAGTGCGGACTTCACAGTCAAACTGTGGGACATCGTGCGCGGCTACTTCACACATAACTTTAGGGGCCACACTGGAGTTGTCAGGTTAGTTTTCTTTTTCCACTGGAGAACTTCATTAAATTATTACAATGCACCTCTTCTCAAAATAGTACATTGACCGTGTTAGATATATTTAGGTAGATAAGATAAAGCATGGAGTACGTTCACTAGCTTAACTCAATGTTGAAATCTGTTTTTATTTTCAGAACAATTCTTTTCCTGGGGTTTTTTTTATGGGGGGGGGGGGGGGGGTTAAAAAGGTTTTTAAACACACACAGAAAGTGTAATGTGATAGAAGTGCTTTTCATTTTATTCAGATACCTATTGTTAACCCTAAACTTTTGTATGGAAGTTTTTCATTGGTCTTCTTAACTCTGTTCTTTTTTACTCTCTCTCTCTCTCTCTCTCTCTCTCTCTCTCTCTCTCTCTCTCTCTCTCTCTCCATATATTATTTATACTTATATGTGTTTTTCTTATTTCTTGGGATCAGACTGACTTCTTTCCACCCAAGTCCAGACCGCTTGCAATTGGTGACAGCAGCAGAGGACTACACTGTGAAAATATGGGACCTGAAGTCCAGCAGCCTGATATTGTCGAGTCAGTGCCATACCAGTCTAGTCACATCTGTGGCCTTTGCTGACGGTGGAGATACCATGTACAGGTAGGAGGATCAGTCGGAAGACTTATGTTATACGTGGATATCACACAAAATTGAGGGTCGTTTCTTCTACTCTGCGTTGAATGCTGCTTTGCTGTGGCGGCTAACACAATGAGAGAAACCGTGCTGCTCAAGAAGACAGATAACAGAAAGGGGTGGGCTACCATGATCATTAATGTCTGCTCCAGACCTGTCACCTGAAGAAGTAGAGGCTCAGCTTTTCGCAAATGTCTGCTCTCACACTGTGAGGGGTTGTGAGAGTGGCCGCACATATTATGGTGCCTTGCACTATGTAAAAACATTAAATCCTTCATAGTTATGGTTAATGTGACTGATTTTTTTAATGCACACTTTGTGTGTCTTTTTGCCTGCCTCCATCGACTTTAGCTTTATCTTTTCGTGTGCTAAGATTGACATTAGCTACACCTTTTACGTATAATTTTCTTTGTTTGTGTTTCTGTTTACTCCAGTGCGGGCAAAGACAACGTCGTATGTGTCTGGAAAACAGCCAAATGGAAAGTTTTCAAGACTATTCCAGTATTTGAGGTGAGCTGCTGACTTGTAATATTTACTTAATGAGCAACCTGGAGCATGATGTTGTTGTGCTGATATTATTTTATTTTTCAGAAGAGTGTGTTCATGTATCTACATTTATTTACGGGGAAGGGGGGGGGTACTTTTGTCAGTTTATTCTGGCACCGGTACCTTATATTTGCTTTGACTACTGTTCTGTAGTACAGGGGTGCCTTTTTTTCAACATTATTTTCAGTAGCACAACAGTAATTATTCTAAGTATTTGTTTTCTAGATAAGTTGTGTGTATTAATTTTCACTTGCTTTGCTAATACAACTTTGTAAATTTTCCAGTTTTTTCACAAGGTCCCAGTGTCACCCCTGGTAGTATGCCTGCTTTTGCCTCAGAATTAATTACCATTAATTGTGTGGTGCTCTGGTAAAACAAGGTGTAAGGCATGCAAGAGTTGAACAGAGATTTAGCCAAGAAGCCATAAGATATCAGTCTGTAACATTTTCACTACTTTTGTCTCTTTTTTCTGTTTTAAAATCATAATGACAATGCTTAAATTAACAAAGATGTTTAGTTTTTGAAACTTGTGTCTCATGCAATTGATTAAACAGTCCTTTCGATGCCTCCTAGAAAGTTGCTTTTGGTCCAAATCACGAGTGGCAATGATGTACAAAATGACTAATATGATTTCTTCACGTGTTTACCTCCAGCCCATTGTGAGTGTCCTGGTACCACTGGAGTTCCCCAGCTTGGTGGATGAGGACGAGGCCTCTCGGTTCATCACTGTCAGCACCACTGGTGAGTTGAACAACTTTATAGCTCGTGGGACAAGCTTCTTTCATCATTTTTTTTCATATCTGTGCGAAAAGCCAAGATGCCATGGTGACAAAAGCTGCTTATCGTTTCATTCAACCTGTGATGTCTACAATGACCTGCATTTTTCATTGTATTTTGTATAAATTTCCTCGGAATATATCATGGGGGGAAACTGGTTTTGGTGACCATGGGGATAACATTTTTTATGTGCATGCTGTTTGAATTTCCTGCGCATTCTGTGAGAACAAGAATGATTTACTGATATATAACCCACTGTTGAGTGTTTTCCCAGGCTGGGGTTTATCATTATGTATAGTTAGATACATTTTACGTTTGTTATCCATTACTGTCTTTAGTCTGTCATGTCACTCTTGTTTGTCAGTGACTTGTTTGTTCTTTGTGTCATGTCAAGGTGCTGGTTTATATTCTTGCATTTCTTCGGTTGAAAGACTCAGTAACTTCACAGAAACTACCTGGACTTTCCCGATTATTCCAGTTTTCAGGGATGACTTTTGATTAGATATTTTGTATTTCTGTTCGATTTCAGGAGAAGTCCGTGTGATCAATGCTCAATCTGGGAAGCGTGAGTACTCCAACAACTGTCGATTGAGCGACCTTGACAGTAGCAAAGAGGACGGTGATGCCTACCTCACTCAGGCTGTGTATTGTGCAGATCTCAATGGCATCATACTGGCCACCTATGACCAGAACATCATCATTCTCAGCAAAGACTTCACTACGGAAAAGCAGGTAGGATGTGGTGGCTTACGTATGGTCGCTTTGTCACGTATTCTTTGAAGGAAAAAGAAATTCTTTTAGTTTTGGTAATTTAACGTTTAACTAATGATTAATTTGAAACAGCATGTATTAATGATGTTTCGTTTTTGTTTTGCTGGGGGTTTTTTGTGGTGGTTCTGTTTTACTAGGCTGGAGATTATTTCTCTTTGGGTCTGGATGTTATTTTACCGCATTCTGTGCTTATAATGATCACAGCAAATGGTCATTACAGTTTTAACTCTTTATCTCCGAGGGGGGTAAACCCACTACACCGGGCCTTATCTTTGGTGCTAAGTGTAAAAATGACAAAAACATCATTAAATGGGTCATTGAATCGAAACTAGCAAACCTATTTTTATAGTTCTTCATCGAATGAATGAACATCCGGTATAAGGGACCTGTTTTCAGCAATTGACGAAAAATAATTTGATGTTGAAGTCTTCGTAAAGCAATGTGCCCGAGTGGCTGTCAGCTGCTCGCCGACACAATGGTTCCGACCGCAAGCCGCTGGGAGTGGCTTGCCGGAGATAAAGAGTTAATGAAAATCTGTTTTGGTATTTGCTTATTTATTTTTAGTAGAATTTAACTGTTTACTAGGGGTTGCGTTTTTTAGTCCCCACCAGAAGTCTGCTTGAAATAAATTTAAAGTAGCATTTTGTTACAAGGAGTCATTGTGTCTTCTCCCTCAGCTGTGTGGTCATCTGGACGATGTTCTCTCTGTGCGCTTTGTGGGTGATGGGGACAGCCATGTTGCCGTGGCAACCAATACGGAGCTGCTCAAAGTTTTCAGCAAAGAATCATGGGAATGTCAGCTTCTCCAAGGTCATTCTGATATCATCACCTGTCTTGATGTTCATGGAAACTTCATTGTCTCTGCTTCGAAGGTAATGCTTTGAACATCCCTTTGTGAATACTACATTTGTTTAAGTCCTCATTGGTTTGTTTGTCTGGGAGTTCTGTGTTGATTGTGTGAAAGAGTCTTGAATTTTCTTTTTGTTAATTGTTGTATTTTTTCCTGTTGCGTCTCTGTTCACTTTTTATCTCGTTTGCTAGTGCCACTCAATGAGCCATGTAGCTGTGCTGTGTCCAGTGTCTGTTCACCTGTGTATTATCGTCCGTTCCTGTCTACCACTTGAATTAGTAGCACGCAGGTTTTTTGTATAATAGAACCAAGCTTTCAAGTGTGGCTCATACGTCTTGCTTTATAACAATAATTGACCATTTGGATATCTCTGTAATTTTCTGACAATGATAAAAGTCATTTGAAAGCTAGAACTCTTGGACTCCACTAAGGCATCACATTAGAAGTCTACTGTCATAAGTAGACATAAATGTTTGGGACCCGCTCTGATGAATGACGATCTTTATGATATTTCTTCCTAACTTTAGACTTTAGTATATGTGGTTTGTGGAAAAAAACCGAGATGGATGATCTTACTAAAGGAAATGTCAGACTTCGTTGTCTCTGGAAATGAAATGAGGATGGCAGATGAAATTTTTATAAAACAGTATTATATATTTTTACAGGTCTACATCAGCAAGAAATGGTAGAAGAAAAGGGTTTGATGTTCAAAGATGCATCATTTTATTGCTTAGGTGGGAGGAAGCTCAAATCTTGTATATGATCACAGCTCTGATACTTGTGAGTGTTTGAAAAGGCCTCAAGGGAGATTTTTAACTTGTAAACTTCCCCTTTTCAGGATTCCAGCATTCGCTTGTGGCAGCTATCATCAGACACAGGATATGTAACTTGTGTGGCCACAGGTCAAGGTCACACCCAAGCAGTGCAAGCAGCATCGCTTGCCAGGTAGGAAAAACTCATTTTCATTTATATTTAGTTGTTTTTATCATATCTTTAAAATTTGTCTCTTAAAACCTGGCTCTTAACAGATACACCTGGAGGCACAATGAGGTGCTGAAAGTGCTCACCACAATGGGGACAAAACAGGTGGAAGAAGGAAAATACGCCCCTAAGATACAGAAGCATGGACTCTCCAAGATTGCGTTCGTTCCGCAAGGAAGCAAGGTTACTTACGGAAAGAAAGCGAACGAAGCCATGGAAGACCAGAGCGGAGGCACATGGGAGGTAGCCGCTGACTTAAAGGGCTTTGAGAGATTCTTCCCCATTCCAACTACGAAAAAGCCAGTCATGGTGTTATGGGAGGGAAAAGACAAAGAAGTGCACTTGGTAGAGCTCACGGTGCCCCATGAGGACAATATCTATGCCGCACATGAGCGGAAAGAAAACCGTTACGAGGCACTCGTCGAACAATGTGAGGAGGCAGGATGGAAAGCAACCCATTTTCCGGTAGAGGTAGGATGCAGAGGTTTTGTAGCAACAAGCGCCCGTAAGTGGATGAGAGTGGCAGGACTTACTGCAAAGAAAAGCAACAAACTCACAAACTCCCTTCAGGAGACAGCAGAGAAAGCCAGTCACTGGATCTGGTTGAAGCGAGAGGACGCAGGCTGGAATGAATCCTAAAGTTAGCAGCAGAGGAAAACAGTCGAACTAGCATGGAGACCTCACATCAGAGAGGGGGCTCGGTGCGTCAGAAAAGCTGTAGAGAGGAAGAGCCCGAAACAGTGACACATTCTCTCCTGATGATCTCCGTGCTAGAGTCCGGGATACGGAGCGTTCGGCTGTGAACAGTGCATACGGCTGTTTAGACTATGTCAGATTGAACTTCTTAGTCATGAATCACTTATGTGCCTTTTATATGAAAGATTTCATCAAATTGTGATCTCTATTCATCAGTAACATGGGTTTTTAAGTTATTATAGTTCACTGTCTCAGCTCAAAGAAGTTCTCTTGGGTTGTGTGTTTATCGGCCAGTCTCAGTACACCGCTTCTTATTCAGCATGTAGGCCTACTCTGACTGGCAAAATCACAGATAACTAAGAGGGGTTATTATGTTATACTTTATAGTTATAGACAGGACAGGTAATACAGTTGAATATATGTGAAGCGCTAAATGAATTTGCAGCTTACACATGTGGAGGGCCATGTCAGTGCTTTCGTTGGATGAAGTCTCGTTTATATGGTCTGATAGCTAGAGTCCCTTTTTATGCCAGTCAAGTGTCCTTTTTTAAAGGGCTCCATGAACTGTAAGCAGCCCAAAAATATTGAACTTTTTTTTTAAAAATAGGGTTCAATAAATGTTTTAACTGCATGTACTTTTAACTAATTTTTTAAATTTTATTTTATAAAAACATTTTTGGACAGATCTGGTGCACGTCCAGCTTTTATTGCATCAGGTGGTGTGGACAGGACACTGAAAATCTGGGCTTTCCCTGTAGAGTCGGATGTGACACCCATGTCTACTTTGAGGGTGTGTGCCACAGAGCATGCTCACGATAAAGACATCAACAGCATTGCTGTAGCTCCTAACGACAAAATTCTTGCCACAGGATCACAGGACAAAACTGCCAAGGTGATTTTTTTATTTTGCTTGAAAGGGGGGGGGGGTAATTATGCATAGATAAACTTTCATTTTATTACTGTGTGTGTGAGAGAGAGAGAGCGCGCTTGTGTTTGTCTAAAAAGAACAAGAAAATGCTAATTTCAAATTTGAAAAAAAGGTAAATTGAATACTGTAATACTTTTGAGCATGATTATGTTAGTCTACTAAACCTTATATCTGTTTAATAAAACCAAGGAAAGAATTCTGAATGTTTAAATATGTTAAAACTGAATACATTTGTTAAAAAGTGATTTAAATCACTGATTTTTATTTTAAAAATCAAGTTGATTAAAAAAAAAATTTAAATAACTGATTTAAATCAACCCAGCTCTAATTTCAATTATGGGAAAAAAGTAAATTGAATACTGCATTAATTTACAGTGAAAGGGGGAAAAGCAGACTTTTAAGCATGATTATATTAGATTTAGTCTACTAAACCTTATATCTGTTTTATGAAACCAAGGAAAGGAATTCTGAATGTTGAAATATGTTATAAACTGAATAAAAATACATTTTTTAAAAAGTGATTTAAATCACTGATTTTTATTTTAAAAGTCAAGTTGATTTAAATTAAAAAATCAACTGATTTAAATCAACCCAACCCTGGTTATTGTTATCATTCAACTCCTTTTTTGTCTTTCCTTTTTCATGACCAGGTGTGGAGCGTGAACGACAGTCTAAATGGACTCACTCTGTTGGCTGTTCTCAGGGGACACAAACGGGGAGTCTGGGGCGTCCAGTTCTCACCTGTTGACCAGGTCAGTGTCGCAAGTGTCATATTCTGTTGCATGCTCATGCACACACACACACACACACACAGGGCATATACATGCATACACATGGATATATTTATGGACACTCTTGGAAAATTTTTAAGCCAGCTTGGCAGTCACCCTGAGTTGTCTGTCATTAATCCCGATTTTTTTCACCAGACCCCAATTTTTTTGCCCCAGGATCCTGATTTTTAGATTTGATAGAGTGGCTGGTCTGTTTGATCCGTGCCCACCATCTTGATGTCGAGTCTGTTTATTGATTTTGAAAAGTTGGCCGTTGTGTTCTTATAAATTGTTGTGTTTGTCAACGTCTCAAGCCATTTGTGTGAAAGGGGCAGATAGCTCCTGTACCTTAATCTGACTGATAAGGGTGTCGTTTTAGAATACCGTCTCAAAACTTCAGATCTTAATGGTTTTGTGTTTGCTTTGATAAACTCAGTGGTCTTCAAGTCTAAGAATTTCCTTATTTATGCAGACCATTATATTTGTATTTGAATTATGCTTACTTGTATCTCATTTTTTTCATGTTTAAAACAGAATTAGTTTTTACATGTATTGTTACTTCATTGATCATTTTTATCTTTTTTATTTACTTTGATCAGGTGGTGGCTACATGTTCGGGAGATGGTCACATAAAGCTGTGGAGCATCACAGACTTTTCATGTGTTAGGGTGAGTTATGTCCCTAGCATAAAAACAGGAAACTTTGCCTTCACTCTTTTAGGGTATATGACAGCAACAAGGAAAGGAAAGAACTCCATATAAGTATGCAACGCCACTGTAACGATGCCTTGACATTCTTTATCTTTTTTAACCCTCTACCGATTTCTATAAATTACACCATCTGTCTGGTAAACAGTGCTTCCACTCTTCCGTATTTTTATGGAAATCCGTACTTTCTGCCAGTTCCGTACTTGTTCCTCCATCATTATCAACTCACTCCGTAAAAATCTGCGACAGCGTTGGACTACCGAAATTCCGTAGCAAAAGACCCGTACTCGCCTTCGTATCATCTTGTATAGTATAAGTTACGGATATTTACGGTAATTCTCTCGACAATAGTTTGTTACGGTATAGAAACCTGCCAGATTGCGCATTTCCTGCCATCAGCCATCCGCTGTGCCCCATGCATTCATTGTGGGTTGGTCGGCAGTGCATTTTTTACGTGCTGATTGACCAAAATCTGGCAAACTTTTTGTGCCACTTTCCTCCTTTCTATCATTCACTCATTCCCTCTGTCTATCTTCGGATTGTTGCCGCGGCTTGAAAATCTGCGCGTTGATCAAGTATATCGACTTGTGATCTTAGAAACTTTCACAAATTTATTGTCTAGATCTAGAGAAATTTGTGCTAAACCTACTAAAATTAAGAATAATTCGAAGTGGTGTTCCGAGGTTGTGACATGCGACATTCAGACGTGAAAATTGAGGAAAATTAGGGTATACGCTGGGTAACTGTATTGTGAAGGTACATTAGACCTGCATGTTTGCCGACAATCGTCTGAAATCCGACAATCGCGACCCGACCCGCGAGCCGGCCGATGCTATCGCTAGGCCCACCTGTATCAGACAATGTGCGTAGTGCGAGGCCTGGCCAAGTGCGAGGCCTGGCCGACTGCCAGCGCCCCCTTTTTCCCCCGTCGGCTTTGTCGACACTTTCGTTTTCGTGCTGACTGCCGACGTCGGCGTTACCAACATAATTGTCGGAACCTGAGTAGAAATGCGAATACGAAAAAGGACGACGGCCTAAATTATCTACTTTCAGTTTCGTGCTTGAGCGGCCATTTTGAATTTCCTTTGTTGACTAATGCAATTGTTCAGATCGTGTGGATTCATTCAAGTCCGACTCACTTGTTCTTATAGAATCTAGACTAGATCTAGATTTATATGGATCATTATAGACCTCAATGGAGGATTCATATTCCAATTCTATTGTGTCAAACCCTATCATAGGTTGTGCTGTAATATTAATGTTGGTAAAGAGCATTTCATCAGGTGCGTGAATTATTTATTTATTTAGAATCTGGAGATCTAGATTCTAGATCTAGACTCAGCTTAGTCCCTCTGTTCGGAATCGGATGCGAATTTCTAGTTCAAGGCCTATTCCTATTCACTTGTTCTACAAGATCTAGATCTAGATTTATTTAGATTACTAGATCTAGATCTATGGAGGGTTAATATTCCAATTCTATTGTGTTATTGTATCAAACCCTCTATAGCAATGTAGATCTAGATCTAGGCTATATTATGCTCCTTGTTTGTTTTGGAGACCCCCGGCAGAATTTTCCTTACTTTTCAGCCTCAGCTGGTGGAAGCATTTGGTAAAGCAAAGTGTGCTTAATTCGCTTTTTTGTTTTCATTTCTTGCAGTTAACGGTTTAGTTTTTGTAAAGACCTGGAGTTTAATTTGTAGTTAGGTGGAAAATTATGCTGCAAAAAGTTGGTATTTCTGGAGGTCATTTCCTGCAGTGACATTCTTTACAGGATGGTGTTCTTAAATTTTTTTAACAACTTATGGTTTCCTCTTTCCTAAGCCATACATGTTTTGAACATTTCTGAGTCTTTTTACATAAGTTTACATTTCATGCACTTAGATGTGAAAGTAAACATGATGATACATGAAGTGCCCAATAGTCTGTCGTTTTTGTTGAAGAAGAAGCTGTTTATCTCACTACCTCTTGATTGGTTGAGAAAATTGTTAGTTACCCTGTATCATTCTTCATTTTTCTTCCCTTTCAGACATTTGAAGGTCATGACAGCTCTGTCCTGTCCATTTCATTCTTATCACAAGGTCGCCAGATACTTTCCAGGTAAGCTTATTTGTCTTAATTCTCTCTTCTTTTTTTCTTTTCCCTTTTTTTCAGTCATACAATTTCATTTGCATCATTTTGCTTCTGATTTGTTGCCTTCTGTGTAGCCTAGTGTCTATTTCTCTCTTCTTATCATATAATGTCTCCTCCTCTCCTCTTTTAATTTCAAAAGTCTTTTCCACTCACTCTGAACTGGTCTGACTGGTTAGACATTCAACACAATATATATATATATATATATATGCAACTGAGGTTATTGGAAAAAGTCAAAGGAAAGAGAAAGGAAGCTTGCATGAACTTTGAGTACTGATACCACGTTAGTTATTCAAACTTTATTTTGTTCTTTTTATATTATTATGTGCTTCAATGTTTCATGCTTTTACTTTGAGTGATATTATTTGTACACTTGTGATCACTTTATTGAGTGGGTTCAAGCATCTGTACATTTTTCTTCTGTTTTTATTCTTTCCTTAGAATTTTAGAATTTAATCACTGATGTAGAGCAGGGTGCCACCTAACTAATCTCAAAGTGGCTTGGATGATTGAGAGAATATTAAATACTAAAATAGTAAAAGCACTGAAATATATACCCCCTTCACTTTTCTTGTGTCTTGTGTTGTCACAGTGGCTCAGATGGCCTCCTCAAGTTGTGGTTGATCAAGACTAGTGAATGCCTCAAGACTCTGGATGGCCACGAGGCTAAAGTATGGGCCACTGCCATCAGCAAGGAAGAGGATTATTTATTATCAGGCGGAGCTGATTCTGCTCTCATCCTTTGGAAGGTAGGAAAGGCTTTGCTTTGAGTACAGTAAAACTAACATGAACTTTTTGGGAACCACAGAGTTTCTTTGTATTAAGCAGATTCCCTAAACAAAATTTAGTTTTAGTAGTTATGAGTTTATCGATGAATTCATGGGTGCTCTTGTATGATTTACTCCTTCTTCCCAGTCAAGCATCTATCATCCTTATATCTTCTCCTTTTCATTTTTTGTTAGTCTCTCGTAAGACCTCCAGTCTTCAGTACTTATATGACCTATTTGTGTAGAAGTGCCACAAAACTCTTACTAAATCGAAACGAACCCATGATCTTGATACTCTGTACATGAATTACTTTATCTTTGTCATCTCAGGATGTCACTGAAGAGGAGGAAGTGGCCAAGCAAGAGGAGATGCAGAAACAAATTGTTCAGTGAGTTGGGTTGTTTTTTTGTTTTTTTTTAACCTCTTGTATACATCTTTGTAGTCAGTTGGGATTTATTTTGTTTTGTTTCTGGAGGTGGGGGATGTTACTGAATGAAGATAAGTTAATCACCAGTATGTTGCTGAAGTGTAGCTCTATTATTATTTTATATTTCGTGCAAGTGCTAAAATGTATGCAAGGTTGTGTAAATCATATTGTACTTGGTCTTACATGGTGAGATCATTTCAGGGCCAGACTGTTTTTGAGTTGTACGGCGTTTTAAAACGGTGAAGAAAAGACATTCTTTAATCCCTGTCGAATGTCAGCAATTGTTTCCAGAATTAAGCATGAGAAACTGATGCTCTACCTGCATGCCAAACGTTTCTGTGCAAGTGTGCTTTTCTCTTCTGTGAATAGTGAAAGTTTCACCATACTTGAATCTCTACATTTTATGTCCCTTTTCTGGCAGTATTGTGAAATTTTTTGTGAAGAATTTGTTGGGGGTTTTTTGGGGGGTGGTGTTTTTGTTTTACAGATAATTTTTTGTACCCTTGTCTCTCTCTTCTTATCCTCAGAGAACAAGTTTTGTCCAATCTGATTGCTGACAAAAAGTTTGTGCGAGCTCTGGGTCTTGCTATTTCTCTAAACAAACCTTTTATGGCTCTCAATGTGATGAAAGGTATGAATTTCTAGCGCCCACTCAATCTAAATGGATGTTTTTTATATCAAACGAACTGCCAGTATACATTTGCCCTTCTTAATTTGCTGATTTTTAGACTGTTAACTAGAAGTGTAGTAGATTATTTAAATTTTTTTTCTTCTGAAAAACAGTGGCTTGGATTCTTTTGATAATTCAGGATAGGATGGAAACATTTTGAGTTCTTCAGTATGTTTGAAATGTTGATATTGATCTATAATATGTAAAAGAAGTCATATCAATATTCTATTAGACAACCTGTCTAGAATGTCAATGTAGTACTAGCATCTGCGTTTGTTGCCATTTTTTTGTCCAAAAGTTGCCACAAAAAGTGGCAAAAGTTGCCATTAATTTTGAAGCTTTCAACTCTCTGTGACGATGTATACAGCAATATGTTGATAAAGGTAACGATCTAAAGCACCAGAAATTTCTTGTGCTCTGTTTTAAGCATCCATAATATTATTTGTAGTCACCCACAGGGTAATAACGTGAAAAATAAAGATTTCACAACAGAATGAAGTCAAAATTAGAACAGCTCGGATAAATAACCCCAAATATTAACAAATAAGGGCGCGTGTCCACCTATCCGAAGATTGGCTGTTTTAACCCTAAACGTGTGTTATTCAAGGAAAAGGAGATCCAGGCCTACAGGATATTACATGTAAATTATGGAATCACTCGCAATTGGGGCGTCCCGGTGTCAGTGTTCGGTTTTTAGTGGAAGCGCGCTCTAACATAACACATTTATATTTTTAAAAGGGTAGGAACAGAAATTAAATGACATTATGCGGTATAAACACACACAAAAAAGAAGAACAAATCATCCGAACAATTTTAGAAAAATTAAAACACCAACAAATTAAAACACAATAAAGAGGGGAAAATAAAAGAGACACCAATATAAATAGTACGGTAATGTACCATTATATTCCCCGCATGAAAATAGATACACATGGACATCTTAAAACTTATCGAAATACATGTCTAATACGTTATAAAGTAGCTTTGTTGTTTTGTCTTTTTTGAAAAATGCAAAAATCGCAGCCACGATTCGCGGGCCAAACAATGCCAAAAATCGTGGCGCGACAAACGCAGATGCTAGGTAGTATTAGTTGCCTTTCATTAACCCTTACAGCTTGAGTCGCATGTATTTCCCTTGTGAGATCTTGTTTCCCAAGGCCCAGATTCGTATTTCCTTCACAGGGCGGCAGCCACCTCAACACTAGCGAAATGTTTTTACCATAAGCTTTCCAGTTGTCTCTGAAAAATATTCTACTTTTTTTATCTTCTAAAACTTCTAACAAAAGCAGTAAGCCAGTATCAATTGTTTTAATGTGAGTAAAAATTTGGAGACACAGTATTGGCTGCTCCTGAGGGGTCCAGTTTTACTTGGGCCAAAAGAAAGTGAGGGCTGAAAATAACCTGAGGCTGTGAGGGTTACATTTTCAGCATGAAGACTAAGAAATTAGTTTTTTTTAAATCTTCCAACATTGATGTTATTGTAAGTAATTCAGGAATATTGAACGATTAGTTGGGAGGGGGGGGTTGTAAAATAATTTGTATCTCTTTTTCTTACTTTTTTTTTTGTGTATTCAGAAATTGTGAAGCAGGAGGATGGTGCGAAACTAATGGAGAGGCTGGTGTGCAAATTGCGAATGGATCAAATAGGTGAAGTACAGTCTCAAACTTTTTTTTTGTCTCCTTCTTCTTCTATATAGAGTCACACTTGAAGACTCGTATCTATTATGTACTGGGCCGTCCTATTCAGTTCCTTTGTTGGCCCGTACAGTTTCTCCTGTAGTGTTAAGTAGGGGGGGGGGGCACATTTCATATCATTCGGCTCTGATGTCCTTCACTCCTGAAGGATGTATTCCATACTTTGGTCTGCTTCTCCACACTGGCATTTTGACGACTGTGCAACTACACAGAGAAGATATTGATCGTTATATTGTAGTAACTGAAGTTAATACTCCACTAGATACAGAGAACTTGATACTGGGTACAAAGAAAATATTGCAGAAAAAAAGGAAAAACTAATTTAGGCCCTACTCTGTTTCAAACCTAAAAATTTCCGCCTGACAGATGAAGCCTATTATTTTCTGAAAAATGTATAGTAGACAACTGGTGTGTCAGTGTGAGGTAAAACATATTCCCAAGGAAAAAAACTAAGCTTCAGCTCATCAATTGTACAGAAAAACTGATCAACTCTGTACTTGTTGTGTGGTACATAATCTGTACATAAGTCCTAACAAAACAGAAGTGCACAATGCATGTACAGATGTTTTAAACTTGTACAATCATCATAGACACGTATGTGTTTTCTGCTCTCTTGTCACTACAAGGATCGCTTTTACTTTTACTTCAAAAAGACTGCTCAATTCAGTAAAAGCTGTGTGTCTCCCATCTCCAGGATCCCTGCTCAAGTTTGCCGTGGACTGGAACACTAACAGTCGCAACTGCCAGGTGGCTCAGCTCCTGTTGAGTTTGATCCTGCGGAACTTCCTGCCAGGAGAACTGGTTCAGTTGCCGGACATCCAGAACGTTGTAGAGGCTCTCACCGTCTACACAGGTAAGGTCCTTGATGTGTTACATCACAAAGTGAAAAAAAAGCAAACAAGAGAGAAAACACAGGTAGTTTGAGATTTTGTCTTAACCTTAACTAAGACGATTAGTTAACCAAACTTCCCTTGCCCTTCAAGCCATAGAAATTTAGAGCCTAGTTGTAAGGTATCAGTACATTTTTATACTTGCTAATCATTTTTCCCTTTGAGCAAGGCCTTAAGAAATGAAATCGTTATGTAGTCAGTGTCTTAGACCTGCTTTTTTTTTTTTTTTTTTTTTTTTTGGTTTGTGTATGTTGGACCAGTTTGGGAGGGGGGTCTGGAGTTTGATCCTTGCTAGTGTCATGTCCCCTCTGGATGTACACATATTAAGATATCTTGATTCTAGATCTAGATTATATTTCCGAGGCTATAATTCTAATTCAGTTTAGATCTCTAAGTAAGAAAAACACTACAGGGGCACTAAGTGCAAACGGGACCGCAATTGTTCAGGAGTGCCAAAATCGCTCAGTACAGCAGCAAAGGTGTTGCCTCCTTAATCCAATCCAATACTGCTCTGCATCGATGTACAAGTTTGAAGTGAAAGAAATCTTTTTATGAGACACCAGCTGGCAACAAACACTGGATTTTTAGTCACCAAACTGTGTCAAATGCTTGTTAGTCAACTAGTGCCTTTTTGTTTTGTTGTTGTTTTGTTTTTTTCTTTCAAATACATTTTAATTCAGTTGTCTATGGTTAACAAATATGACAGTTTTCCCTTCCATAACCATGGGCTAGATGTTCCAATAATATTGCCTCTTGGTCTCACTGTTTTTTTAAACAATATTGATGTTTAAACCTTAGGGGTTCAAATCTACTCTATAAAACAGGAACATTAAAAAAAGAATTATTAAAATCCATCAATAAACCATCGAGATATGGTATTTCAAAGTTTTCTTTTTGAACGAAACCTTTTCAACTGCGACTTTCACCCATGTTAGAGGTGTTCTAAAATAGAAAGTGCAAGATCAAATTAATGAAAACTTTGTTTTTCCCAGAGCTGTCAACACTATATTGATATCTTTAAATCAAAGCATGTTAGAATGACTGGTTTCCAAGATATATGCCTTCAAAAATTGGAAAAAAATGCCAAAATTTGTCATTAAGAGCTCAGAACCCTATTTCAACCTCTTCCAAATTAGTCAAAACTGCCTCCTCATTAGTGAAAAGCACACAATCATTACAAATACATGCATAGACTTAGCTGAATTTTATTTAGACCTCTCTGACCATAAGTAACTTTTCTGGACTCCTCTGAAGTGGGCTTCGGTGCTAAAAACGCCTCTTGGAAAAAAATTAGGGGAATTCTGGTACACCCTCGGGCAAAAAGCATCATAACAAGTGAACACATTAAGCTACAGGGCTAAATCATACATCAAATTAAAGCTCAATGCAAGCTCTACGAGGCTAAATGAAAATTGTTTACTAAAACCTCTTATACACTCCATAATTGGGCCCTAATGCCCAAAAACCTTCCATTATTGAGTGAAAATTATAACGTCTGCCGACTGGGAAAAAATTCATATAAAGTCAACAAATTGTGCTACAAGGCTGCATTATATATCAAATTAAAGCTCTTTTCAGGCTCTGTGCAGTGAATTAGTTTATAGAAAGTAAAAACCTTCCAAACATTTCAGAAATGGACAATAATGTGGAAAAAGTCATCAATATTGGCTCAGAAAATTAAAATATCTGCTCAGGGGGTTAAAAAATTGGAATTAAATCAACATACTGTTCTACCGTAGTTTATCTTGTATAATATAGATCTAGTTCTAGTTCTAGATTTATTTATCATTTTTGCTGAGAAAGAAACCAGTGGCTGGGGAAATACAATGTATCATCGTGTGTCCAGTAAGTGGATGGAAGAAAGAAGGGGGGGGGGGGGGGGGGGCTTTCTCCAATTATCAGGTGACATCTAAGTCTAACTGAGTCTAAGAATACATAAAAAGGCTGGTTGATTCAATAATTGAATATCCACCAATCAAGAACGTAGATCTAGCCTTTTATGTTACCAAATTAAATGCCAAACAATAGATCTACGAACATTTCCATCGGTAACACTAACACCCGGTAACCTCCTTCCGAGTGTTTAGTAGTGTGTGATGACATGTTATTATAAATAGAACTCCCAGTTCAACTCTTCACGGCTTTATTCTTTCACTTTGTTGACCAGAGATGCTTAGATTTCGATGCATTTAGAATAAATAAGGTGTTCTTAGTTGAAAAGACAGCAAAAATACCACCACGAAGTGATACATTTGTATAGATCGCAATTAATTCACTATGAGGTGGTGGAAATGTAGGTCGGCGTGATTCCCACCAAACAATAACAATCCATTCACATTGCAAGTGGTGGCCGATTTGTCTTATTTTTCAAAACACGATATTCATATGTATCCTAAAAGAAAATTATGATAACACTTACATAAATTGACGCCATAAACAGATCTATCGAATGTTTCTTTTGCTGAAACATCATATAATCGTCTGCTGGTTGGGTCAAGTCAGAGGGGGTGGCAATGGGCGATGGAACAGCCGCAATGGCAGAATGAAGATCTCCTGAAAGTGGATGTTACCCCACTTCAGAAAAAGCAATATAATTTCTACTTCGTGGAACGTAGTTGGCTTTTCTAAACACATAAACTAGATGGTAGAGATGCCTAGGATTGTGATCCTGGCACGGATAGTCCGATTTGTGTCGAATTTCATATTTTAAAATGCTTTCTTCGTCTTTACATCGTACCACTCATGCTTTCCACTCGGAATAAAAACATAAACACATTCCCCGGAAATTCTCCTGAAATCCCAGATTTTTATGTTTCAAACCGCAAGAAAATTCGATGATTCACGACTGAGAAATCGAAATTTAAAACAAGTACCCCCCAAATCTAAGCGCGCAAAATTGCGAGACGGCCGAGTTTTCCCGTGTTAAACTTTAATCAATTAAAAACTTAATATGCAATCATAAGTATCAGTTTCTCGTTCACCATGGAGAAGGAAAGACACAGAAAACAGTGGTATCATTTTCATTAGTGTTTACCAAAATTAAAACCAGCTAATAGTTGGATGAAGTTGTCCAAATCTGGCTTCAGCCGTAGCTGTTTGCTTTGAAAACGCGCCGTCTGCAGTACTTAGTTTCATTCTGATTTCATGAACATTTCTCCTGTATGATCTTTGGTATATTGTTCTTTATTTGTGAAATGTTTCACTACATGGTTTCTCCTTCTCCCCTTCCCCACAAATATTTCAGACCGGCATCTTCAGCGCTTGGACAGTTTGCTGATTGATTCCCACTTTGCAGAGTACTGCTACAGCTGTATGAAAACTGCCTGAATTGTGTTGAATAATACCAGTGCAAGTTGTTTGCTTGATAACATGACTGGTACTGGGCTTCATGGGAGAGGGGGGGTGGGGGATCACACAAGTAGGCTGTCTGTTTGGAAAGGAAAGAGAATCGTTGTGTGAGAGTAGCATACACAAGTGACAGAGTGTTTCTGTGAAATGATACTGAGAGGCAAGTATTTTGACCTGTGAAATTTTTGTTTCCCCTCCCAGTAGTGGTAAAAATAGTTGTTCAGCATGGGGAATGATAAGCCCCTCATTTAAGTGAAATGTTAAGGGTGTAATGCTTTCATTTTCTGATTAAATTCCTTACAGCCGAGTGAAGCATAGTAATGGATACCCTCAAATTGTGACTGGCCAGTGTGACAGTGTAAATTACTTTCTTTCAACGTTTCTTTGAATATGCTGTTCATATTGCTAGTGTGAAACACTAAGTGTATCAATTGCTTGTATCTACTGCTACCTTGATCTTATTGTTAGTATTTTAAATATGTATATCTTCTTGGTGTCTCAAACAAAATTGAAAGGAAAAAAATCTGTATCTTGAAGAATATCTCTGTAATACCTGTAAAATAGTAGACAACCCATACACCTTTTGTGATTCCAAACATATTGACCATGTCTCTCATTTGGAACATATCAGGGAAGTCGAGGTCTGAAGGGAGGGAAGTTGTACAGTGGAATCCTGTTATAACGAGAGGGAGGGGACCGGTGCAAAATGTCCGTTATAGCAGGATTCTCGCTATAAGTAAGGGATCCAGTAATAAATTCAAGGAAAACAGTAAAGTAGGCCTAATCTATGAGTTTGCTGTTCTGTTTATTTATTTTTGTGATCTCCCCTGATGATGATCTTGTTTCAACATGACCTCTAGGGCTTACTTGATCAAAAATCGAATCAGGTTCCTTTCTCCGGCGCTAGCGATGTTGACTGACAGCTCGTTGGTGATCAGAAAGAAAGAGCTCTGGGCTTACTCGCCCGCTGTGTTTTTCCCCCACCCCACCACACCCTGTGGTGCATTCTGTCTGCTTGCGCACGTCACACATTCGCTCCATCCATCATATTGCTGTGACCTCTCCATCCCCGCATCAGTAAAATGAGAGGCATGGTAGGCCTAGATAATCTAGACTAGGCCTACGCTGGCCTATCACGCAATACGTTCTGCTTGTCTGCGCTTGCCACACCCTCTCTACTCAGTTGCTCCGGCCTTCATTGTTGACTCACCTGGGCTCTCCCATTCTTTGTTTCGCTAGATTACCAATAAATTTCTCAACTGGCGAGGTTTTATTTAAATATAATTGGCCTATACACTGTGCACAGCAGTTGCAATATTCTGCTATAACCGACTCGCATGTTTGTCTGATTGTGCCATAGCAGTATTTTGTTTGCAAAGATAAAGAAAAGGAAAAAAACGGGATTTTAGAATAGTGTCTGTATAACAGACTTCTCGTTATTTCCGGGCTCGTTATAAGTGGACTCCACTGTACTTGAACAATCTGCTTCCTTTTTGTCTACCGCTCAGCTGTATCATGCTTACTGCTTTAGTCTGCTAAATTTGAAAAGTAATGTACGGTACAAGTATTTTAGAGAAAACTTTGTACATGTACTATGAGTCTGTGGCTGGCTATGATGTTTTTGAAAATGGAGTGATTTCATTGTATTTGTGTAATGGAGAGTTCTGTGCTATTTATAGCTTATTGAGTATATGTGAATGTTTTAGTGGGTTCTTTTATTTCACGGAGGGGGGGGGGGGGAGTCAGCATTAGTAACAATATTTGTTGATTATACTGCTACTGTGGATTAATCTAATGTCAAGAAATAAAATGTTATTTTGAAATGAATGTCTTGTTCTTTCATTTCTTGTTATGCTTTTTTTGTGTGCTTTTTATTTTGCTTTTTTTTTTTACTTTTTCCGTACAATCCATGGGTGTAATGATTCTCTCGAACTCAAACACAAACTTTCCTCTTTGTGTTCACATTCACCGTTATCGAGGAAAGTCCATGGATATCAAAATCTACTTTTTTTAATTTCTTGTTTACTTTTTTTTTTTTTTTTAATTTAGTAGAGGTTTTACGGCACTCGCAACTGCATAAGTGGTCATATGAACACCAAGGGGTGGATGTCAACAGAAAAGTCTTTACAGGGAATCAGGCTTGCTCTGCTCACCTCTCTAGCTTCAACAGCACAAAGTCTGTTTCGACTTTCAGGGCATCTCGGAAATAGCGGGTCACAAGAGTATGACAAACATACAAAAGAAGTAGAGGCAAAATGACTATAGTAAGGATTAAGAAAGAAAAAGCAGCAGTTCCCTGTTGTAGATCAGGCATAGTTATGAGGGTGACATTGATGAATCAGCCCATTTACAGTTCTACTGTGCATGAACGAAAAATGTCCCCCCTTTGGGAATGGCCTAAAGCCTAAAGACTCTTCAGTCAGAGGCACCGCCCAGGGGGGTCATCTATTTTAACATTATCTTTAGTCAGGCAAGTTGTCTTTCCGTTTCCCCGTTTCCAGTCGTATGGTTCAAATAAGAGTTTCTTTGTCACTATCTTAAAAATGAACAACTTTTTTACTTTTTTTTAAATCTGTAATATCAGGCAATCAGTTTTTATAGATCTGGTGATTGTTTGCTCTCTGTAAAATGTGACTCTGAAAGACCTGATGTAGATTAGGTGACCTAGCTCCCCCATGACCCCCTTGTTCCTTAGCCAAGCAGATTCTATCATTCGTTTTTTAAATATTTTTTTAGTAGAGGGTTTTACGGCATTCGCAACTGCATAAGGTCATATGAGCGCCATGGGGTGGGTGTCAACAGAGTAGTCTTTACAGGGAATCGCAGACTTACTCTGCTCACCTCTCTAGCTTCAACAGCACAAGGTCTGCTTCCACTATCAAGGCACCTCGGAAATAGTGGGTAACAAGTGTGACAAACGTACAAAAGAAGTAGAGGAAAATGACAATAGTAAGGATTAGGAAAGAAAAAGCAGCAGTTCCCTGTTGTAGATCAGGCTCAGTTATGAGCGTAACACGATGAATCAGCCCATTTACAATTCTACTGTTATCATTCATACACATATGTATATATAATATAGGCTATATATATGAATTATTTTCGACGTGGGCAGGATAACTGAGAGAATGTTGAGGATAAAGGCATGCTGGATAACTATTTTGTTCAATATAGTGCTCTGAATACCTGAAAAAATACTTTTAAACTTAACTTTATCTGTACTCTTAATGCTATGAGGTGTCGAGGGGAGATGCAATTGTCAGACATGGGTCAGATGTGTTGCTGTTTGGATGGTCATGTTGTTCCTTTGGAGGGTCTTTTTGACTCCTTCGATCCATCTTTTCGTTGGTCTTTTATTTTGTCTTGAAGCCATCAAATCACATGTTGTAGGCCTTCGAGGCTGGCTGACTGTTATGACCCTATTCTTATTGCATGATGTCCAAACCACCGTATTTGTTATCTCTCAATGTATTTCATGCTCGATTCAACACCCATTTGATGTTTGATATGTTCGTTTCTTTGTCTGTCTCTTCCTGTAATGTGAATGTTTTTCTAAATCCTTTCATTTCACCTATTACTATTCTATTTTGCTGAGCTTTGTTGAGGGTCCAGGTTTGGCAGGGGTAGCAGTGGATGAAAAATACATTGGCTAGAAGTTAACAAGTCTATTAAAATTAAAGCACATATTATCATTTGCATTGTAGAGTTCTATGAAATGAAATGATTATTTTGGTGACCAAGCCTTGAACATGGAATGGGACAAACACGTCTCAAATTTCCCCACGTGGCGGCAGTCCAGACAAACTGACATGGCAGGTTGGAGGTGGCCCTTGTTTAGTGGCCCCAGGTATAGATAATCATATTTCCCACAAAAAATCTATCTTGGTATTATTATAATTATAACACACTCTGCGCTGTGCTTTTACATCTGATCCTAGTCTTTTTAGGGGGTTCTCGTGGCCTAGAGGTTAAGGTGTTGGCCTCTCATTCAAAGGTCCCGGGTTCGAATCCGGGTAGCGACCGAAAAATTTTCTTCTCTAAAATTGTCTCCTTTCACCTCATTTCCTACTCTCTAGCAATGTTCTGTTGTCTGCTTTCATTTACACTTTCTGCCCCCACCCCCTCACCTCCTTTGCCCCCTCCTCTGGGCTCCTGACTCTTTCTGCAGCCTTTCTACTGCTACTCCTTGGCTCCTCCTTACTGCTGTCTTTCTGCCACACCCCTGATCTTCTGGTAGGAAAGATCTACACCTAGCCTTCTCGGACAAGGGCGAAAAATCTCGGAGGGCCCGTGTGCAAGTTGCGCACGCTGAAGATCCCTTGGTGGTCTAAAATCGATAAAAGTAGGCTTCGGCCGCCACCCGGGCAAAATTCAAAATTTCCTGCCAACTGAAAATATTAGGTGTGTCCCGCGCGCTCATATGACCTTATGCAGTTGCGAGCGCCGTAAAACACTTTACAAAAACAAACAAAGTCTTTTTCTCTGTCAGTTTAATCTATGGCAGTAAAGCTGGCAGATAGCGAGTGGTTGGAGTGCGCCACTGGTAACTCCTACTTCTTTACTTTCCCTCTGTTGTTTCGGTCTGTCTTTTTCCCATCTCTAAATGACTCATCTTTGTGTTGATGTCTTCTCTTTACTCAAACAAAACTATCTAGCAGCTACAGTAAATGCTTTTATTATGAATTTTGTAACAAAAGGTCTTCATGTTCATGGGTCTGATAAATATTTTGGGTTCATTACTTTATTTAGTTTATTTTCCCCTTTTTGTTTGCAAAACTGTTGATAGACGTCACGATATCTGATCTCCTTATCTAGAGAAGCGTAAACAAAGCTGAATATAATGATATTTATATATGTGGCGTCCGTGGCCTAGTGGTTAGGCTGCCGGGCTTGTAATCGTGAGGTGCGGGTTCGGGGGTTTGAGCCGCGGGCCCGACGTTGTGTCCTTGGGAAAGGCATTTTACACGCATTTTCTTCACTTCACCCAGGTGGGAATGGGTACCCTGCCATAGACAGCGAAAGATCTTGTCAGTATGTTAGTGTTTTATCTCCTATAAATGGCTGCTTGGACTGTATGCTTCCCAGAAAGTTTAGGTTGTTTCAGAATGCTCTCAGGTCTGCTGGGAAGGAGCAAAAGTTTATGACACAAATAAATTGTTGTTAGCGGGAGCTCTGGTTTGGTTTGCTCCTTCTTTCCTATCAAACTCAAACGTCCATCGCCCTTCAAATCTCTCCTCTTTCTATTTTGTGTTTGTTACTCTCTTGTGACACGTTTAATCTTCGGCATTTATAAGACATCATTGTGTTGCAGGTGCCTCGAAACTCTTACTAAGTTTTCGGTCCGATGAACTGTGACTGAGAGAGAAAAATATGATTTCGTTTGGGTTGGGGGGGGGGGGGGGGCGTTAATTGTAGACAAATCAAGTAAAAGATAGTTGTTTAAAAACTAGTTGCTTAAAATAAGTTAAAAACTAAATAATGAAAACGAAACTTCGCCTGGCCCACGTAAAGTATATC